AAATCTCACCTTAAATACAAACATTAAAGACAAAGATGAGTTCAGACATCTCAAAGCAAATAATGTTATCAGTTACACAGGTGCTATTGCACAGTGTACCATGTCATTGATGAGGCTCTGCCTGGTTGGAGGAGACTGCAGACCAAGGAGTGTGGCCAGCCTGCGATGTTTTTCTACAATGATGCCATCCATGTCCAGCAGCCGGGCAATGTCAGTGCGCTCAGGAGTAATTGGAATAGACAGTGTGGCCAGGAGGACTCTGGTGGACATCCTGAATATAGAAAGTAAGCATTATTACCACTTGGTCACTATTAATTATTAAATATTCTGTACTTATCCACAGATCATGAATTTGTTACCTTTGCATCTCCTCTTGGGTCAGATTCTTTCGCATCTCCCTTGAAAGGTGATAGAGCCTGTGGAGGGTGCAAGCATGGAAGAGGGCATTTCCAGATTTCCAGAACACAGTTGACACCTTGTTGTAGTAGTTGGCCATGAGCTGGGGTTTGGGAGGCTTCTTGGAGAGAGCAAACAGGCCATGGATGTCTTCAACAGCCTTGAATGCTTCCTGCATAACATAAACAATTCATCATTAGTTACAATGTCATGTTCAACTTGCATGTATGCAACATATATTATTAAACTAAACAACACTGAACAGCAAAACAGGTGTTATACACAACAAACTGTGTTAACTGCTGACATCTTTCAAAAGGAACCATTAAACTTCTCAATAAAATACCTTTTCCATTTCAGTGTCTAAACCAAAAAATGCATGCATTCTGTTATGCTCCTTTGAGAAATGTAATACAAGATGAACAGACCTGCCAGAGCTCCATGCTTATTGCGCTGTCCAGCTGCACCAGGCGTGTCTCAAGGTGCATAGACTGGCTTTCAGGGTTGTTCAAGTTGATGGCAGTGCTCTGATTGTGGTGGCGCTGGATCTGACCCAGATGCATTCGCAGATTGTCACACAGCTTGCGAAATTCTGCTTTACGGGTGTACTGAAGGCAGAACTTAAATGCTGCAGAAAAGATGAAGGTATATTATACGTTATACATACTTGTTTCAAGAGTTTGGTGTAGAACTTAATAATTAAAACACATATAGGTAAAGCAATGGAATATTCACATTTTAAGTGTGAGAAACACTGATTTATTAATTCACTGATTACAGATTGAAAACATTCTGTGTTTGAAAAGGATGCTTTTCATCCTTGAAACAGGGCCTTGTCAAATCATTTTCTATTCATATATATCATTCAAAAAGGAAAACCACAAAGAATACAAACAGTGTCAGTAACTCACAGGAGACCATGAATTATATCACATTCACTTCTGGAAAAACTTATTTTGCATGAATAAAAAATAGACTTACCTTGCTGAGCAATGTCATGGTACAGGCGCTCCACTTTTGAGTTATTCCGAAGCAAGTCCAGACACTGACGGTATGACTCCCAAAGGAACTTGACCCAGGGGGTGAGTAGCAGGCGGTCAGTACGATCTTGAGTGTCCTCTCCACTCACAGCACTCAGAAGCACACTAGTGTCGCAGATTCAATAATCAATGCATCTTACATTTATTAAGCCCCTACATTATACCATCACCTGTGAAAGATCTGTAAAACCTTGTCATCTGAAACCATTGAAACTTAAACTTCAAACACAATCTAAAAAAACATATGAAGACCCTTGATTGATTGGAAAATTCTAAAATACAGTTATTTCCTGAGAACAGTATTTGAGCATGCTCACCTCTCAGGAGTCTGGATGTTGTCCAGATCCTCAATGTCCAGAACCATCTGCTGGGACTCCCCCTTTGCTGTCTCAGTCTTCTCCTCCGCCAGCTTAAGATAAGCCCGAACCACATCCTCCAGAGATTTGATATTCACCTAATAGCAAAGATGTTACAACATTACCCATTCACTCAAATGGAAACATAGTTTGAACCACTACCTGATCTGTGCAAACATCCTTTCTCCTCACACACCTGCTGGCAGATGTTCTTGTACTGATAGAGACCCTCCTTGGCCAGGTGGCTTTTGCGCAGATCCACGCAGAGCTCCAGGTATTTGAGCATGATGGGCTCGTGGATCTTCTGCCATGTTCGATGTTTCTTGCTCTTGATGACATCGTACAAAACATCCAAGGCTGGCTGCTTTTTGCCAACCTCGAGAAACTCTGCATAAAGACATAAAATAAAAGTCAAACGAACGCACACACCGTTATATTATCCAGTTATCTGAGCAGATTGCACCGGCCGCGTTGGCTGAATTGTGAGGCCCGGGGTGGCTCGTGAACCACCTCAATTTCGCACTACAAGAACAGAAACCCTTACGAAACGGGTTGACAGCAGACAAGAAATGTTTTGATCAAAACGTCAAGACTGTCACCAGCTGTTGTCTGTAGCGGGAGAACAATAACTACAACTGTCGGTAACACAGAAAAGGTCCAGCCGGTCAGCTGAATATTAATGTAGACGTGAGACAGCGATATCGCCTCCACGCCATTCAAGCTAGTGTTAGCTAGCAGTTAGCCATTTTGACTGTGTCAGCTAGGCTAAGTGTAACGCAGAATAAAGCCAGCTAACAGAAGCTAGTTAGCATTAGCGTCTGACATCCGCGAAGCTGAATTACTAATTCCACTTACCGTTCGCTCGCTTCAGAGCATTCTCTGGTCTTTGAAAATACGCCGGCATGGTGGTGGCGTTTTAAGAAAACTCCAACTCTGCTGGCTTGAGTGAATTTTTGAGAAATTTCACCAGTCCATCCACGCCACGCACTCACCCGCTGGAAAGGTGCTGGCTGAGAAAGGAAGAACCTCGTGAGCGGCCTAGCTAGGGTTGCCAGCAGGAGCGTCTATCCCCCTATCACAGTGTGCATCCATTCATAGACTACGGGATCGAAAATATCCCAGTCTAGATTTTCGAGCGACCACCTTTGAGTAATGAACACGAGTAATGTTTTGTTTTTTTACTCGAACATCACTTGACGCCAGTGTGTGTGATTCCATATGTGTTTTTAAGATAGGAAGAAAGTACTTGACCCCATGCCTACAGACTAAATGTACAGCTGACCACCTCACTGTGCAATACAAGTGTGCAATATTAACCTTAAAAATAAAAAAACAGTGTAATTATATAATGTGAAAAATATGTGTGCAATAACCTCAGGTGCAATAAGAGATAATAAGTGCAATAAGAAAACATTTCATTTCATTGTACAGTGTTCCCCTTGTTATTTTTTTGTATTATATATTTGCTTTAATACAGTGTATAACTTCTGTATAGTTTATTTTAAATCACTTAGCTGTTACTACAACTTGTTTATTTTTACTTTGACTTTTTTTGTACTTTTCTACTTTTTTTTCTTACAATGCTATTCTATTTTATATATAATTTTGACTCAGGGAGAAACGCACAAGAATTCCAATGTACCTGTACTGTCCTGTACCTGTACAAATGGCAATAAACATCTATTCTATTCTATTCTTTTGCCAACATTTAAAATGTAAGCTCCTTTCATTATCTTAATTGGACGGTGCAAATACAGTAAAGCTAAAATGTAAATGGATTTCAATTATGCATTCTAATCTACTCAAAGTAGCAAAGTGGACGAGTGCAAGCGAATTTCCTGTCACCAATAATGTCCCAGCCGTCAATGCCATAGGCCTACTGAGAAATGTAATGTTCATATAGGCTATATGAGTTTTTAACGGAATGTAGATAAAATCATGATGGCACTGTCTCGGCCGGCATTAAATGATACTTTTTTTTCCTTCTTGAGACTATAGGAAATGTGCTTTCATTCTCGTATTCCTTTGTTATGGTTTCATCCCTAGTTGCCTTTGTCTTTTATTCAATTCATATCTTTTAACTGTTTTTAATGTTGATATTGACCTATGTCTCTGAAATAAAGAAATAAAGACAAGTTTGCTACTAGCATTACATTTGTTATGAATTAGCGCTATACAAATAAAGATTGATTGATTGATTGATTGATTGATTGATTGATTGATTGATTGATTGATTGATTGATTGATTGATTGATTGATTGATTGATTGATTGATTGATTGATTGAGTTTTAAGACACTTCCCTGTCTGTAGACTAGCTTCATGATATGTGATCAAGTTAAATAACAGTCTAAAATTAATTAACTGTGTGAACTCTAATATGTGTGTAGCTAATCTCGGTAGATTATTTCTAAGGGATTTATTTTTGATCAATGTTTAAATACATCTTTTTATTACAGTATTGAAACATGGATGACCGTGTCATAAACCTTAGAACGGGGGTTTAAACAAACCTGGCAGCTCTCGGTGTACAAGGTTCCCGTATGAGCGCCCATGATGGTGCGTTTAGGTAACCATAGTGAAAACTCTAATAATAAAGCAGTGAGCTACGTTGACTAGATTGATAAACAAGGCCTTTCAATGCTCCCAAAATAAAATCACTCAACTGAAAGGCTGACATGGTTTCCGTGCTTATGTTGGTCTTGACATCAATATTAAATATATTTTAAGCCTTAATTAGTGAACAATCACTGGTCTTTGGTTGGACGACCCATCCTGCGCCAACTTGATGATGACATTGCAAAATCTTAGAAAAAAGAGAAAGAAATGCTGCAGTAGGCTATAGGCAACAACTAAAATGTTATAGAAAACTATAGCCTATTTGGGAACTTCTTGTGGGGGTTCAGGTTCCATTTCCTTCAGGCGGGGAAGGGTAAGTACTGCTGCTCACCAAAGGCCTTTTTTACTTGCTCTGTCAATTTCAGTGAGGGCTCAATTTAACTTAAATTTGTAAAGAGGAGATTCAACTAGGAAAATAAACATAATCATTATAACGTCAACATCAGACTGAGTTTAATCCGATACCTGCTATGATAGAACATGCTTTAAGAAACATTATTAGGAAAGGCAGAATTTCAATATACGCGAACGCACCATTGACACTGCAGTATCACCAGCTATGATTGGTTGTTAGCAGGGTGTCTCCTCCCGAAAAAGCTTGGCATCCCGGAAGAGGAAAGACATTTCGCTCAGAGAGGAAGAAAAGTCTGTTGACAGAATAAAAAGACTGAGCAGGCCACCGACAGGTTTCAGCATTATTTACTGTTTTATTACATCTGTTGAGCATCGTATTAAAGTGACGAAGAACGAGCTATCAAGGTACTTCACAGTTCTGGTAGTGTCCTGTGATGTTGATGCTTGATGCTTTTTCTCCTATTAACTTGTTGTTCTGAACTCTTTTAGGTATGGAACATGGCAGCAATTGAAACGCAGCTTATGTTAAGTGTAGGATTAATCGGTAAGTTTGTGGTTCTCTGTGTACTTTCAAGCGAAGTTGCCGTTTCAGATTTCACTCAACATTCAGAAGAATCACATGACACCAGTGTGACCCATAAGTGTCATCATCATCATCAGGGCGCCATGTCTCTAATTGGCTCATCGCTTCTTCATTTTTGGCAGTATGCCTTGATAAGCTCATGGAGATGTTTCTAAGTGTGATAAGTTTTGAACCAGGAAGTCAGTGTGATTAGTAATGAATCTTTAAATATGTTCACATTCATTCATCTTTTTCCTCATTGATCCAGAGAAAGATGTGAATGGAGATACACTGTGGGTGTGGTGCTATCCCTCTGTGGGATCAGACCTGAGGCAGATCCTGCTCAGTAAATGCTGTCTGACGCATGACAGCCGGGATTTCCACACCTTTGTGTTTGGTCAGTTCTGGCGTACCTGGTACTACATCACCACGTCGGAGGTACAGGAACCCACAGCGCTTAACAAGGTACAGTCACCCTGATCAGGAATCAGGAATTATGAAAGTGTAGCATCTCTATTTATTTTCATTTATTTATTTTTCTTCCGTTCAAGGTCACTCATTTTTCAATAGTTGTTACAGCGAAAGACTTCAACCCTGAGAAGTATTCTGCACTTAGTCGAGTTCTCTGCAGGTACATTAAGGAGTTAAGAATAATCCGTTTTGGATGCTTTTATACTTAAAAACAGTGTGTGTGTGAATCTAAGTGGTTTGTTTCTTTTCCAGGATGTACACCAAACATGGCAGTCCAGTGAAAATGATGGAGGCTTATGTCACCGTCCTTACAAAAGGAATTTGCCAGAGTGATGAAAACGGATCATTTCTAATTAAGGATTATGATGTTCGGAAAGCATACTTAGCTGGTTCAGTCAAAGGTACTGCAGCACTGTCCTTAAGGGGAACACTTATCATTATAATGTTCACTTTTTTTCAGTTCAACTTGATATATTGACACAATGTTTTTGTACATATACTTGCATGTTGCATGCCAGTGAGATTCATTTTCATCTTTAGTGATTTATTTGTATTTTAATGCAGCCGCTGTTCTTTTACTCATGAAAATATTTTTTAGGGGTGACAAAAAACACATCAGTCAGTCGTAGTTGTGCAGGTCATGTCAGTGTTGTTATCCCTGTTGTCATTTCCAACAAGCAGCAGAGAGAGCAGAGAGGACACATCTGCCATTACTAGAAGTTCATAAAATTAATTCTTGATTCTTAAAACGTGTCTAATGGATTCTACTTTCATGTTTCTGTTCTGCCCTAGATGTGGTGTCTCAGTTTGGTATGGAGACTATCATTCTTTATACTGCACTCATGCTGAAAAAGAGGATCATAGTCCATCACCCTCGAATTGAAGCATTGCTGGAGTTTACAAGGTGTGTTTAACATGTATTGGGTTAGTGCTGTCGCCTCACAGCAAGAAGGTTTGAACCCGTACCGGGCCTTTCTGTCTTTAGTTTGCATCTTCTCCCCGTGCATGCATGGGTTCCCTTTAGGTACTCCAGGATCCTCCCAAAGTCCAAAACATGCTTCTTAGATTATTGTGTTACTCTTAATTTTCCATAAGTGTGACTGGTTGTCCGTCTCTGTACGTCGGCCCCTATGGTTGACCGGCGATACAGGTTGTACTGCGCCTCTCACCCAATGACAACTGGAATTAGCTCCAGTCCCCAAAACCCTGAACAGGATAAGTGTTATGGATGAATGGAATATTATAATGTCAGATTTTCATGTTTAATGAGGCCAGACTTTTAAAGTCTAAGGTAAAGGTAGAAGTTAAACATTTTAACGAAGAACTCTGAATTGAACCTCAGCTCATCACAAAGTAGTTTATTTCTATTGTCATACCATACATACTTACCAGTTTACCTGAGTAGTGTGATATTTAATTGTTATTCTCTAAAATGTAATGCACTTTACATTACCTTTGTTATTTGCTATAAGTACATGTTGTTCTAAGTATTTAAGCTCCCTTCCCACATGTAGACCTATCAGGGGAGTATTTTTGAATAAACAACTTGTGATTAAAATCCACCATGTCAAACAATTAGAAATAGTGAGTACAATATTTACTCAGATTATATGTCCTGATGGAGAAATTACTTTGATTTTTTAACTGTTTATTTATTTTTTAAAACATTGAGTTGACTTAAAAATCAAAATAGGTCACTTTTAAGTTCAAAATATGACCTCAATAGTCAATTATCAATTGAACTTGGAGAATAATGTGATTCATTCCTAACCTGTTCCCCCTCAGGGTTCTACCCTGTTTGACATGGCACAGGAAAGACTGGTCCATCCTGCACCCATATGTGCATCTCTCTGATATTGAACTGGAGGATCTCAAGAAATGCCCTGGTGAGGCTGCCTCCTGCTTTACTGACTCTCATTAACAGTTGGTGATTAGCCACCATCTGCACTGTGATCACTGTACTCTCATGGTGGGAGTTAATTATTTATGCACCAATATGTTTGCTCTCTCCACAGGATATGTAGCAGGATTTGTAGATCCTGAAGTGAGCAACAGATTGGACTTGTTTGATGTGTATGTGAACCTCCCAGACAGTGTCATCACAGTCTCCCAGGGGGCCAAAGGTGCAGTATATGTTTTTAAGAGCGCTTTGATTCCTGAGAGTAGTCTAGCATTGATGTTCCATATCCTATCACAGAGGCCATGGCTATGGGGAAGTTACATAAGGACATTGGCCATCTTATTGTTCAATCTGCAGAGGATCCTGAGAGGTCAGACAGTCAGGTCATAAAGGTGAGCGTTTTCAAGTTTGCCTTTATTTAATCAACATTACCAAGAGATGTGTTCTTTGATCTAACACGACAACCCATCGTTGATTCACAGGACATTTCTGTTAAGACTAAAGAGATCCTTGCCAATTTGGTGGCTCTGGCTGACGAGTGTGAAGACTCTAAAATCACATTGGCAGGTTTAAAGCAGCATCATTTCCCTCCAGCGACGGAGAACTTCCTCTTCCATTTGGCAGCTGCCGAGCAGCTCTTGCGAATTTAAACCTGTAATCAGACACAGCACTGTAGGAAGATGATATTGCCACATCATGGGCTATGATTGCTGTTATTTACATCTCGGGAGAGTTTGAGTTTGTTTCTAAAATGCTTGTGGACACCCTCATGATTAACACAACAATGTGCAGAGGGCACTCTCACAGTGACCTTCATGTCAGGTCTCACTAGCGTCACATTTTATAAAGGATTCTTGTCAGAACACGTTTTACTAATAGTTTTTCCAACAGAATTAAAAGACATATTTGGCTGGAATACCTGTGAAAACACTAACAGAGCATTATAGTCACTCTGGAACAGGGGTCTCCAACCTTTCTTCATCTGAGAGCTACTTGCATCAAATCACTTGCATTTATTAACATAGCACACATCAGCTGCATTAAACTACTGTTTGTACGCGTGTGAAATTGCAATAAGCCAATGCTTATCAATAATCTTAAATTCACATCAAGGTCCAAGTAAAAAACATAAATATTTTACACTTCTTATTGTGCCACACAGTAAGCGATGTTACTGAAAATTCACATCCATGTCCAAGAAAACATCACTACATTACACTTATTTTTATGGGCCAAATATATGAATAGTGGAAAGAGGTGCATTTACTGTCATCAGATCTTTTATTTTTGTTTAATACAGTTGGTCGACCTATGGGCGAGCTACCGGTAGCTGTTGGAGAGCCCTGCTCTAGAACCGCTTTTGTTTTTATCCAAATTTAAAAAGTCCCAAACACACAAAAAATGAAAGTGTTGTGTCATTTTAGTTGAACTATTCAAATGAAACTACATCCTGTATTTGTGACTTTTTCAGGTCTTCAGGAGGAACCGATGCCATTGAGGCCAAACTAACCGTGTTTATGACGGCTCTTTCATGTTTTTTGTGACAAAAAGAAAGCATCGTCTGACTTATCCTTTTACATTAACGGGTCTAAAATATTTGTCTCCAACTTTGTGAAATTGAGTCAAATGGGCCGGTGCTTTTAGCTTATAAATCTTCATGTTTTAAAGATGACAGCTCCCACCCCCTAAGTGCTCACCTTTACTTATGGGCAGCTGTGGCTCAGTTGGTAGAGTCGTCGCCTCTCAACCAGAAGGTCAAGGGTTCAGTCCCCAGCTGGGCAACATGTCCAGTGTCCAATGTGTCCTTGGGCAAGACGCCCTGAATTGCTCCCTCTGCTTCAGTGGTGGTGTATGAATGAAATTAGTTACTTCTGATGGATGATACTACATAGTGATCATCACTACCAGCAGTGTGTGAAAGGGTGTGAATGTGTAGGTGTGACATGTGGTGTAAAAGCGCTTTCAGTAGTTGGAAGACTAGCAAAGTGCTATATAAGCTCAAGTCCAGTTACCATTATTACCAATCACAAGTCAGGTTCCTGGTCTGAAGTATTGGATGCACACTGTGAAAAGTTAGACATTGATTCACAGTTTACTGTTTGTATAAATGCAGTAGCAACTGGAATGACTTAATGAGCGCGATAATAAAAATGCAGAGGTTGTCAGATATCACATGGGTAAATCCAAAAGTAAATTACTTCGTCTTTTTTATTTTTATTTTACTAATGAATTTAGAGTTTTGTTAAATTTGTTCTAATGAACCATCTCAGAAAGAGTTTTCTTTTTTTAAAGGTCATAGGCTCCTCATCAGTCTTCAACTGATTACAGATCGTGATCAATGCCCTTGTGCCAACATTGATTTATTCATTGTGTGTTTAATGTTATTGGTAGTGTTCTACAGTTTATTCCCTTCTTAAAGTGACAAAATGTTTTGTGTCTCATAAGATACCAAGTGCAATACATAGAAATGCTTATGTAATTTTAAAATGTAGAAGTATTTTCATGAATTGAGGTAATTAAGATTTCCAAAAAAATAGATATCTAATATTCAATTTAATAAATTTACTATGAAAGAAGCTTTTCACTTATTTTGATGTTTTACACACATTCTTTTTACATGGAAACTGAGAAGTGGCTGATTTTTGAGACTGTTGCATTCTTCTACTTTTAAGCTGCATGATGTTGAGACAGTAGTTGTGAGGCTATCCACTAATAGCATGTTTTCTACCATATAAAGCAACAATTCAGAGTCCTCTATGGTAATATAACTGTCCATCAACCGCTGCAGCCTTCAGTTCCTCTTCAACATTTTCCTTCCTTATCTGCAAAGAAAAGAAGGTCAGGGTCAGTCGAGTTCATTACAGGGAAAAACATCGGAGCACAAGAGGATTGTGAGTCTCACCTTTCCCAGTTGTGGAAATAGACTAAATGAGATGGGAATCATCAAGCCCAGAACAAATGCAACACTCATATGGCGAACAGGAACTGCCAGCAGAGTATTTCTCTTGAAAACTTTTGTTCTGTAAAACAAGACGTACAAAATATGATTCAGCAAAGTCATTTTTTTTGTCCAGGTAATGACAACTACATTTTTAAGTGACTGACCTTTTTAAAAGCAAAACCAGAAGGTTAGGAATAGCAGCGGTTGAGCCTAACAGTGCTGCTCTCGACAATGCCGTTTCCCTCACAGCCTGACAAAGAGAACACACAGTTACACTCATGTTTCCAATGAGGAGGCTTAACTCCTGCATGAGTCTATACTGACCTTTTGTCCGGCTGCTTTGGAGAGGCCAACTGGACTTCCTTTGGAATCAAACACTTGGATCCCAGTTTCTGACTCCTCACTTCTGATAGTGGACACACTGAAGAAGGCCAGAGCAGCTGCAGATAGATACACAACATGTTAGTCCTCCCTGTTTTGATCCACATCAGCTGAATTGATATTAAATCTAGAGAGACGTGAGAAGAATAAGTAAAGGTATTGTTTTGAGTCTATCTTGGAATGCATTTGAAATGGGCCTATGTATCTGCTATCTGACATCCAGAATAAAGTATTCAGATTGTTTGTGCTATTAAAACTAACATATTCCAGTTTCATATATCAAAGAACTTACCTGATAGTGGGATTGGTAGTATTGACCTAAAGAATGTCTGGAGTGATGCACTTCTTATGCCAAGTCTGTTTATGAAAATTTGAGGGAGCGCCTGAAACATTGACAAAGGAATTTTATAAAAGTCAACAAGCAGCATTTTTACATGATAGAGTTCTTAAAACTTGACTACAGTTCAGACAACAAAGCACAGTTAGCACTACTGCAATCAGGTTATACACACCCCTGCACATGTTGCATAGGAAACTGTTCCAGCAAGTAACAGAAGCTGCTTTAAAGACGTCTTCTTACCCTGGTGGTGAGAGATAAAGAGAGATTAAGTCAAACGGAAACAAAGACTGAAGATGAATCATGGAGTCAAAAAGGAATCTGTAAGTTAATATCTGAATACATCACCTGCTCTGATGATGAGTTTCTGTTTGCATGGTTAAACCCTGCCGTGTAACTTTGCAGCATAAACTGGAAGAATGCATTTTCCATCATTAATATGAAATAAAGCCACATGCTTTATAATGTCATTTTAGAACTATGATAGTATGATTACCTGCCAAAAAAGAGCTGGTTTGACACCGCTGTGTGGCAAAAAACTGGCAACCACCTGAAAAGAGAGGCCTTATTTTAAATATTCATTTCCCAACCATCATACATGACTAAGTGTCATTAAATGTTTTAAAGACGACTCACATACCAGAGGAACCAACATTGGCAGGAATGCTGAGAAGAAAGACAACATTAAGGGCATCAGTATCCATTTTTAAAAAGTGTTTCATTAGTATGATTCATAAAAACAATATGTCGTTTATCTTTCACAATGTCATTTGAGATTTTTAAAGAGTTTAAAATATTCAGGTTTTGACTGTACCTGGAGGACGGAAAACTAGTGGGAGGCTATCTCCAGTATCAGCGTGGACAGAAGACTGTAAACACAGAACAGTCAACAAGTCTCTTCACAAAAAGCAGCACGATAAGGTGCTTTAAATGTGAACGATTTGTACAAATAAAGACTTTTAAGCTCCTGAGAGAAACTTCTGGCCATTTGATTTTGGATAAAGCAGTACGTCTGATCTCTTTGCTTATCTTGTCCTGTAACTGTTTGGATTGTGATTTTTGCTCCTCCAAATTCTCCTCCTGCATTTTTACTAACAGTCAAATATATAACTCAGGAACCTTTGTCTAGGATACAAAAACTGCCCACTGACACCTACTCCCCCATCAGAGGGGCATTAAAAGAGCATGAAGACAATAAAAAAATCTACTTATAAGCAAAAAAAAAGACTTATGAGCAGATTTGTATTTCTTGCATTCTTACTAGTGAGAGGTTCAGTGCATGTCCATCCTAGAGGAGGAAACAGAACAAACAGAGCTTTAAATCTGTGTCAGGTTTATGAAGCACACTATCTGACCATTGTGCAGTTTAAGATTTTATTGAACACAATCTGACCTCTTCATTGAGTTTCTCTCCCCTTCCAAGAAGAGCGTAGGCCTTCTGTATTTCAGTCTGAGGAGGGAAGAATCCACTGTTTGATTTAGCATATTGTCAACTCATCTCAGATAATAAGATCAGAGTAGAGGCTGCATCTTACATCAGAGGAAAGCAGGGTAGACGGATCAAGGAGATTAAACCAGATCCGCAGTCGACTGACAAAAGACTGAAAAAAAGAACAAGTGTGGCATATTGATAATCATTTACTTTAGAGGAATGAGATGTGAGCACAGTCCAATCTCAAACAACTGTATAATATAGGCTAATAAATCCCCATCAGTGAAGGTGCGCTGCATGTTAAATCACTGCTGTGCACTTACCTGTCCCTCGTGTTTCCAATACAGCAGATTAGGATCCATTAGAACGACTGTACGCCTCCAAAAAACAAACAAAACCTTTCAGCTTACGCTATTACATTGAACTGGTATACATATTAAGCGCTTCAGGAGGTCAAGTCCCTGTTAGAAGAAACTCTACTTCCGTCTGAAACCATGTGTTCAGCTGTGGGTGGGACTAAGATACCTTCAGGGACATTGAAAGTATCGGAGATATCAAATCCTAGTTGTGTTCAGTTAAAACCATAGACTGTAAATAACTTATTATTTACAGTCCGTGGTTATTACAATGTCCCTGATTACAGTTAATGCAAACTGTTTTGAGTCATGTCTAACACAAGTTGCTTTTCGTGATTTAAATCGATAAATCAGATTTCTTAAAAGACTTAAGTTATTCCAGTTCATAATTGTCAATCTATGAAGGCATAGTCATTAGGAAAGTAATAAATCAAAGTCCAGACATATTCTTTCCAAACTTTTCTACATTAGTAATGAAGCTTCAAGATGCTCTCAAATCATTTCCCCAACAGAATCATTTGTAGCATTAGTAATCTTTCAACCACCTCCTTCACAATATCATACAAGTAAATATTTTTGTAATTGTTAAGGTTATGTATTTATTTATTTATGTATTTCTTAATTGTATCAGCAGGTTGACTTCAACCACGTGAACCTTAAGACCTGCTCGACCCGCCCTCTTCTGACATAATTCAAAATGGCAGCCACCATCGGTAGACTCCTCGGGACCTCTGTAAGTGTAACTTTTAATAACATAACATTCAACTTCAAATATGAACTCTTTCGTCTCACATCTTTTTAATAATCCATTAGCCTTTACGATATCTTCTAACAATGAACACGTGACCCCTGCACTGAAGGGCCCGTATGTCGTGTGTGTCGTACATTTCAACCAATAGACGAACTGACTGTCGTTTTCAGGCCTCTGGACCCTTCCCATAAACCGGCCTTGATCATATGGTAGAAATACATGTTGGATAATATGGTACTTTTATAAGGTATTCAGAAAAAGCCCATCACGGATTTCCCTTAAAACGTCTTAGTGTCACCAGAAACTTAGTGTCAGGAATACTTTAATGCACATTAATGCATTTAGCCAATGCAATGAGACGACGACTTCCGAAAGCAGCTTTTTACAATCTATGCTTTTATTGTGTAGAGACGATACAAACTCGTTACTTTAGTTTTTTTCTGTTTGCAATCTTTTATTTTGTACAAAACTGGCCAACCAAAGTTAATAATCATGCAGTTTGAAAGTCTTTAGTGTATATTTAACGGAATATTTCATGCAGACAGCTGCAGAAGTGGAGATAAGAGTTTCAGTTGTTGTAACGATGGCTGCATTCTGTTTTCAGGATCTTGGTATTTTGCACTGTCATGGCCTCTACTGTGTTTAAACTACATGATGTTAGCCTTGGTTTTTCATTTGTCAACAGTATGTGGAGATTGTCTTATTGTAATGTGTGACCCTGTATGTGCATACATAACATGAAGTGTATGTGCTCTAATGTCAACCATACACTAAAAAAGACTTTGAAAAGACAACACTCTGACATGAGGTCATATCAGAAGACATGGTTATTAAAGTCATAAAAGTAGCATGTTTACATTTGGCTAAGATGGTTTCATGCTGCATTTTTACATTTGACATCCTCAAGGACTTTAGTCTTTGGAAAGAAAATGAGAAAGACAGCAGCTTAGACATCTGACCACCATCCACTAAACAATCAAGATGAGAACACCAACACTCACAAATTGAATATCCTGAATCTGTTCTAATATCAGATTATCTTCAGTTGCAGAAAAACTTGCAATGAAATTATTTTAATTAAATAAGGATTAACAGTACAATCATCGTGTTTCACACAAGAATCCTGTCTAATGTTTATTTCAGCAGAACTCATAAACTCACAATATTAAGAATTCCCACAGGTCAGCTAGTTGTTTTTCAACTAGTTGTTGTTGTTTTTTTCCAGAAATCCACTCCTTCACACAAACTCAACATTTCAGAACAGATTAATACAAGGGCTGTCAGCATTAACTAGTTAATCACAATTAATTAAGGTCTGAAATGAATGCATTCATTTTTGATAATAATAATTTTTGAATTGAGATTGATTTCATTAATTGCACCATGGATGCTTGTAGTCACAGTGATGGAAAATAATGACTGCTTCATCTTTGAAAGTCTCATTTCACATTTTTTTTATGTTCATTTGAGCTGTTTTCGTCCAGTTTTTGATCTGTTGCGAGGTTCCCTTTTTCTGTGGTTAAGTAAATATGGTAGCCTTTGTTCTATCAGAAGGTCCTTCCTTTATTTCAAAAATAAAAGCAGAGTTTAATTTATATAGCAGGTAAAGAATCCTCAGCTATAGAAAGTACAGAAATTCAAAATAAAAGCCCAAAAATTTGTATCTTTCAACGGGAAACTAGGAATTTTTCATGATTATCTATTGAAATTTAGAGATTAATTGGGATTCAAAAATTCAATTGTTTTTCAGCCCTAATTAATCCACTTTGTATCTTCAAAAGCACATATAACTGTTCCGGTATTTATGTATATTTACAGTCTATGGTGTAAACTGAATTCACATTTTTTCTGACTTGTCGACCTATATTGGAAACCCAAAACAGGCTGTCAAGTTACTAACCAAATAATCGTTGTAGTTTTTATTGCAATATTGTATTGTTCATTTAAAATGTAATATTTAATTTTATAGGCAAGGGTTGCAGCTGGAGGGTTAAAGGTCACAGCAGCCTGTCAACATGGACTATCTGGGTCTGCAAGAACTCTCATGAGTCCGGCACTTCAGAAGGCCTGTTTCTCTACCAGTATGTATCCAAACAAATACCCTCACATCATGCTCAGATAGACAACTACTTATATAAGCTTTTCAAATGTTGATTTGTCTGTCAACTGAATATCTTTGTGTTTTGAGCCAGTATAATGGTATCAATGAATATATTGTATTTGACTTCTATGCATCAGGCACATCCAAATGGGCCGCTGCTGTCACTCAACCGGCTCCAGCCTTTAAGGCCACAGCAGTCAGCCACGGGGAGTTCAAGGATTTGAGCCTCGCTGATTTCAAGGGAAAATACCTGGTCCTCTTCTTCTACCCACTGGATTTGTGAGTATTTGTGACACTAACATAATCACCTTGTCTCACTTTGATTGAAATAAATGTCTACCACTGCGGTGAACATTGTATTAACAGTGCCCTTGAATTTTCTTTGTCATTTTACAGCACCTTTGTGTGTCCAACAGAAATCATCTCATTCAGTGACAAAGCCAGTGAGTTCCACGATGTAAACTGTGAGGTGGTGGGTGTCTCTGTAGACTCTCACTTTACTCACCTGGCATGGATCAACACTCCACGCAAGGTGTTTTTTTCATTCATCCTCTGAGCCTTTAGTAGAAGACTTACCTGCAAGCACAGTGTGTGTGTGTTGTGTTTACAATATGTTGCAATGCTGACATCATCTGAAAATAATTCATTGTTAATTGATCAGCAGTAGTTAAGCGTCAGAGTTAATCTAATAGTTCTGATTGTATGTTTTGTCAGACTGGAGGCTTGGGGAACATCCACATCCCTTTGCTGTCAGACCTCAACAAACAGATCTCCAGAGACTACGGGGTGCTGCTGGAGGGTCCAGGCATTGCACTGAGGTAGGTTATCTAGGGAATCTGGGATTCTAACAGCCAGAGCATGATAAGAAAACCCAATGAAAGATTTTATTTCCAACACCAGTTACAGGTATATCTATTTCTACCTTATGTTTTGTTTTCTGCCTAGTGTAACATTATCATTATATCTAATCCAATGATTACAAAATAAAGAAAAAGGGAGACAGATGTCTCAAAAATCCAAAGGATTTGTCCCTGAACAACAGTTCAATCTCAATCAATCTTAATGTGTATAGTGAATACATAACAAGTGTTATCTAGAGACACTTTACAAAAAGCAGGTAAAAGACCTTACTCATTGTTATGTTACAAAAAGCAGGTAAAAGACCTTACTCATTGTTATGTTACAAAAAGCAGGTAAAAGACCTTACTCATTGTTATGTTACAAAAAGCAGGTAAAAGACCTTACTCATTGTTATGTTACAAAAAGCAGGTAAAAGAACTTACTCGTCGCTATAGTACAAAGAAAAAACGTCCTTATAGGAGGCAGAAATCTTGGGGAGATCCAGTCTCATGACGAACGGCCATCTACCCAAACTGTGACGGTCTTGCCACCATTAAGGCTGCTATAATTGGTTTTGTAGCGAACATTGATTGTGTCAGCAGCTTTTATTTAATTCCATATTGTCAGCTGTCTGTGTATTTAACATTGATCTTCTTTTTGAAGGTTCTTTTTTGGGCTTTTTGGGCCTTTATTTATAGATAAGACAGTGATAGAGTCAGACATTGGGGAGAGAGAGAGAGAGTGGTGAATGACATGTGAGAAAGGAGACGCAGGTCAGATTCAAACCCGGGCTGCCCGCTTGGAGGACTACAGCCTCCATACAATGGGCGTGGGCACTAACCACTAGGCTACAGGCGGTCCTATTTTGATATTCTTAGACAGAAATAGTAAGAGTCATGGTACTTGGGGAACTTGCACAATGTCAGTGTAATTATTCTCAGATCCACAGTGTTCAAGGGGTGTCAAAGTTTCGGGCCCCGGGAGAGGTATTGGAGATAGGGAGAACGTTTTGACAAATATTTATTTAGATTTTTATGATTTTGATTTTGATTTTTTAAACATATTTTCATCCAGTTGTTAAAAAAAATCTATGATTATCAAAACAATCTGTAAATGGTTTGCCATTTTATATCCTTGAACAGAAATATTTGTAATGTTTCATTTAAATACAAAATGTAATTATTGTTGAGGGAGATGTCAATCACATTTTTACTTACTTATTTTTTTTACATTATGTTACAAAGATAGCTAATTGTTTTCTGTCTGACTTGTAATTTTAATGTTATGTACGTAAACATGCAGTGCTCACAAATTACCTTTAAATGAATTATATTCTATATCAATTTGTTAGGTTTTATTGATGTTGGCAAACAAACAAACAACCATGAGGTCTCATTTGAACAAATATGCCCCCCCCCCAATATGAGCGTGACACTCCTGATTTACACTGAAACATAAAAAAACAAGCCTACTGTACATTTACTGTAATAGAAGTTATGTGTGGGAATATGACTGTTATTATTGTTACAGCTGTTGTTTCCTGCTGTTTACCTTTAGTACTGATTTCTGTGATGCTCAACCTTCTTGTTGCCTGTATTTCTTTTTTGTTGAGCACACACAACTGTTGTTTTTAACGGATGTTGATATTGCATGTTATGTTGTTGTTCTCCAGGGGCCTGTTCATTATTGATCCAAATGGTGTGGTGAAGCACATGAGTGTGAACGACCTTCCCGTGGGTCGTTGTGTAGAAGAGACACTGCGTTTAGTGAAAGCCTTCCAGTTTGTGGAAACCCATGGCGAGGTTTGTCCAGCCAGCTGGACCCCCAAGTCCCCAACGGTGAGGTCTTTAAAAATTGAAGTATTTCTTTTTTTCACTTTCCTTTAGTGTGCTCATTGTCATTTGAAATGTGCAAGAGGTCTTCTGTAAGACAGCAGCAACCAAAAAATGTTGTTTTTTTTGGTTCTGTTTACTTTTCAGATCAAACCAACCCCAGAAGGTTCTAAGGAGTACTTTGAGAAAGTCAACTAAGACAAAGATGACAGCTCTTCCAATCCAAAACCTGTGTACACTTAGTTTACCATTTAAGTTGTCTTTACTCGTACAAATCAGAACACACTAATAAATCTATTCTTTATAAAATAAAGCTTTTTGTGTATCATGTGCATTGTATTGATGTAGTGGTCTATATTTTATAGGTTTAGGCTTCATGATCTGAAACTTATGTTTTATTCATGGCTGTTTTTTTTCAACAATCTGCATAAACATGCACTAATACCAATACAGCTACTGTAATTCATGCATGGATCTACACATTCAAAACCCCTCCAATATTAACTCCCAAAATCGAAACCACACTTAATAACCCCTGTACATAAACATGTTTATTTTTCTTTTTACAGCAAGTTAATATGCAGGTTCAAAATGTGTAATCAGACATTGGTACACAAGATGAGGTGCCAAAATCAACTTCAGTGGGAGCAGAATTTGAAATTAGAAAATAAAAAGGCATTGCCACTTTTCATACAAGTAGGGTACATACTGTATTTACACAAAATGGGGGGGAAAAAGCATTTGAAACACTCTGCACCACTGTGTGATTATGAAAACATCTAGTTTTAAGTGTACATAAACTTCACTTTGTACAGTATGTTTGCAGAAACAAAGCAATTGCTTCATTCCTTCTGACATTCACAAATGATGTTTTAGGTTAGGCAAAAGAACATGAAGGTAATGGCTTTCCCAGGAAATGTAGAGCCTTTTAAAGCTTTAAATAAAATCAAAAGAAAAGAGCCCAAAAGCAGGCCTACCGCTCGTCAAAATGTACCTTTTTACATTTTGAGTCAGAGGAAGAGGAAAAAAAAGAACGTACAGCACTGACTGAAGTGGAATTTCATGAGCAGATGGTTTGGTGAAAACTTCATGCAATTTCAGGCAAGTTGTAACAGCGCCACCAGCCCCATCCCAAACACCAAACAAAGACAACCTCTTTTAAACTGAATGGATCATTTAAAAAAACACCCTGTAGTAAATCTGTACAACGAAAATACATTTGGGATCTACATCTAGAGATACATTATTAAGGTTATATACACTCCCCCCCAATCCATATATTATCTTTACAAGTAGACTTCATTCAAACCCAAACATTAAGAAAACCCCGACCAAACGAGGAAATGGGATCACATCAAACGTCCATTTAAAACTTGGTTTCTTACTGTACCTCAACTGTTGATCAGTCCATCTGCTCTACTCTGTACAGTAAACTACAGCAGGACTAAAATCTCTCACCAACTGGATGGATTGCTACTGTAACAGGGGATTCTGAATCATTGAAAAGGGGGAATGATTGAGTGACCAAATCTGTTTAGATCATCTTTGAGGTGGAAGTAAATCAGAACTGACTACTATACTATGTATAACAATATTTCAAATGACTTCAAGATTACAAAATAGAAATCAGAACATGGGCACAAACCCAACTCTCCAACATTCTGACACAATAGAACAAAAGGCTTTCAATACACTTAGACCTCTTCACTGAAGAGAGCTACACTATTCCATCAATAAACATTTATGTTCTCTGGTCTCAGGGGGGTCTGGGTTGGAAAAGAGAAGCCATGTCGTCCTTAAACATTTGCCTCGACATTTGTTTGAAAGCAACCGATAAAAACAGAACCTTGTGTTTGATATCTTTTTGTTTGCTCTGGTTCACTTTGAGTTGCGGCGTTGAAATTCATTCACAAAATGGAAAAAAAACTACATTGTACAAAGTGAGATTCTCACAATCTCTTCGCAAGAAAGAAAGGTAATAAAGAATGACTTGTGCCCGCCGTCTTTCATGAAACACATAGGCAAATCTTTTAATTATCCTCTGTTGTCGCTTTGCTTCTTAGTCAATTTTCACATTTGTGTAGATCTTCCTCACGAAGGCACTTGTTCCCATGTATCCAACAGCACCTGGAAAACAAAAGTCTTCAGTGAGTTTCCTTTCAAGGCCACTTTAAATATCATGCTGCTTTTACTTTGAATGTAAATCCATCACAGGGGAAATGATTACCAGTGAAGGTTTCAGACAATCAGGTCTTACATTTGTAAAACCCAGAAGGCTACATATAGTAGTTAGTGAAGATTAGAGAAGTCTCCAAAAAGGTGCTTTAAGGTACATTTTAAGGTGTACTCTTTACAAAGAGAAGAATGAGTGGCTTGCAGCTGAGGAAGAAAATTTAGTCGAACTTAGTAGAGCTAAGTTAGCCCTAACTGCCAATTTCCACATCAGTCTGTGTGCACTGTGGTCCGTCAGCGCAGATATGAGCAGCTGTACACACAACATCAGAACTACAAGATCATGCGGAAATAAAGAGAAAAACGTGTTAACAACATGCTGCTTTGTTGTTCATTTGGTGCTGATAGAAATGATGGCAAAAAGGATTGTGAGTTCGTATAAAAGTGTTTTATTTTGAAATTGACTGGACGCTCTGTGCGTTTCCTCGCCTGACTTCCTGTTCAGCTTGACGCGTGCTTGCAGTGAGCTCCGAGTAAAATAGACTTGCAGTGTATTTGAAATGGGGCAAAGTGTATATCGCTGCTGGTACGCTCTGGAGACGGATGGCAGAGCTCACTGTGGAAACAGGAGCGTTAACTGGAGTGGCAATGAATGGCGCTGATGGACCACAGTGCACACGGAGTATGTGGACATTTGATTTAACTCTGTTTTCCTGTGATAATTAAATTTGGGTTGTTTTCTTGAGATGTCAACTTATTTAACCTGTTACTTCTATATACCATCATCAGAAATTAACGTATATAATGGGGAATAATCATGTTGTTAACCCAAGAAAAGCTGATATATAAGTCAAGATCTCAAGCAAAGAAACTAAATGTACTCCCTATCACTGTAAACAGAGTACATGTATACTGCTGTACTCAGAATTACACACTTTAAGATAATTAAAAATCCAAAATCTGACAGTACCTCAGAGAAATCAAAAGTTACTTTAGATCAATACAGTTCTTTAGCATTCAACTCGATTCGGGACTCACCACACATGATTCCCAGGGCAGTGCTGAACACGGCCATGTAGCCAAAGTAGAAGGACGTCTGGAACAGCCCATACATCCTGAAATATGACGAGATCAATCATGTGATAAATGGCTGTGCTCTTTCACACAGTTTTATTTTTCTTATTAAATGAAGCTTAATACTTACTTGGTTTTGAAAAAGTAGTAGTAAAAGGAGTACATGTAAACATAGACGGCAGTGGATGCAGCAGAGAGGAAGCTTGTCCATTGCCTAGAAAACAAAAGACAGTTAAACTTATGCAGGATTCATTTCTCAATGTATTTTCATGAGCAAATACATTTAAAAGCTGAAAACGATTGATTTCCACCACTTTGACGTTGCTGTAGGCGAGCAAACGTCAGAGCCACTCTATGGCAAAGTAGGACTACACTCACCATCTGTAGTCCTCAGCGTTGAGCAGGAAGTACGTACACACGATGGTGACACACACGGTCACGATGCACAGGATCACCAAGACAAGCATCATGAAGCCGTACACGTAGTAGATTTTGTAGGCCCAGAAGGATGTGAAGATAAAGTACCTGAGAAAGGAGGACAGAAAACATGTCACCTGCTGAGAATATCCTTTACAACACACACAGCCTCCTCAGTAGACTTACATTTCAATGAAAATGGACCCAAATGGAAGGATTCCTCCAAGGCAGACGATGACAGCCGGCTCCATGAACCTGAGAGATCACATAACAGAAACTTAGAAATACAAAAGGCCTTCCCCACACAGACAACGATACATGATCTATTATGTAACAAGAAAGCAAACAGAAAAGCTAGACACAGAATGGAAATTCAAGCAAAGTATCATTGTGACCTAAAGTCTCTTCTGCCATTTCCTGTTGGCAGCTGGCCACAGTGCATGGCACAATGTTGTCAATTTGAATGCACTCAGTTTAATGCTTTGATATTTCTGTTACCCTTGTGCAGACAGCAATACCATTATCTACTCCAGACCTGATGCAAAACACTTAACCACAAGCCCTAAAAAAATGAGTATTCATTTCATACTTCCTCACTGCCCAAGAGCCATTAATGTCTGCTAATCAACCATCCATAGAGCCATACACTCCTCTCTGCCCCCAGATACACACTGTATGCCATCATGTTTGAATACTGCTGAATGTGGCACAGAAGTACCATGAGGACTATTCAAACAGTAAACTGGAACATATTGTTTTTCTCTGATTATTTTTGGGTTGCATAATCCATTCCTAAATGTTTAATGTGGCAGCTATACCTCCTTTTCTGACATTTTATGAACTAAATGAATGAATACAAGATATTATTAAAAACATTGCAATAATATATATTGACCACATACATTATTACTTTGTTGAACACATTACAACAGTTTGTATATTTGTTCAGTTGGCATGTATCTAAAGAATGACTGTCCCCACCTCGTATACGTATGCGAGGTAAATTACAATACTCAGAGCCTAAAATGGCCACCCTTACCATTTCTTCTCTGGAATTGGTCGGGGCACAGCGTTCACTCTGCAGGGAAAGTTCGGCTGGCCAGACAGATTCCTGCCCAGAATTGTTCCCACAAGGTTTAGCGGCAGAATTACGAAAAAGCAGATACAGCAGACAGCGACCTGCAGAAATCAAACAGAAGATATATTCAGGTTTTTGAATCTGTGAATACAGCAAACGTCACTGGTCCTTTTTAACAGGGTTTGTTTAGATCACCCATTATTTATTTCAATTGTCCATTGAATTGCAATTATTTATAGGTCAACACAGTCTAATGAAACATTGGAATCACTTTCAAATATGGTGTATTTCTTGATTCACAGATTTAAACAACGTCACTGCTCATAGCCTGACGTAGAGGTAATCATATTTATGGGGTGTGTATATTCAACCAAACATACAGGCAGATAGACCAATTTGAAAATAGATGTCACAATTACATCACAGCAGTTAAGTGCACATTGTGGTGGTAGAAAACAACGATAGAAACACTGAACAGCAGTGTGAAGACCCTCAATTAAAGAGGACAGCGAATAAAACATAACCCTATATCAATAGATAGATCATACTGTCATCAAAGAAACCCTCTGAAGAAAAACAGACATATGGCTGTGTTTTATGTCCTTATTGCATGCTGGGCAGTACCTCAGCCCTCAATTCACAAAAACCCATCTGACAAATCTTGGTTTTCTATGTCCTAGACATGACCGCAAATTACAAATTTGTATTTGTATGTCTTGAGTTTATCTTCAGTATAGTCGCTGGGTTTCACTGCAAGGTATATGAAGAAGTCTGAGGTCACCGTTTAACTGGTGTTGAATGAACTGGTGTTACTCCAGGTGGTGTTTGTCAGGAGCAGCTTTGGAGGACCCTTGTTTACTATCATAATAATGTTAAACATCCTGCATCCTATTTGCAGATGTTCAATGCACACGATGGTGACCCCTTGTGAACAACATTGTCAGTTTCCTGTAATAATCTTGTGTATAATCCATATGTGTATAAACTGTTAACATTAATCAAACATTACTACATTCTACTTTTAAAAAATGTGTAAAGATTCAACCCCATTTATATTGTTTTGAACAAGCATCTGCAAAGTCTCTTTAAATGTAATTTGTGACTCCACAACTCTTGCCCAGCATTGCTAATGTATCTGAAGGCACTGAAGCCATATATTTAAAATTATTCTGATAGTAATAAGAGGTCCTTAAATGCTGTTATATCACCAGTTAAATCAACACCGCTGACTAACTTCTTACCACCAGTTGGGCTCCACCCACAAAACACGTCATCACTGTGTACAAACAGGAAAATAGTCTATAGAAATCACCATGTGTGTTTAACCAGACAAAATGTGTACAGCCTCAGTTGTGTTTGTTTGTATTGACAAGTTTTAGTGATGCAACTAGAACATGCATTTTTCCTGGTTAGATTTCAGGATTCCTATTTGACATGTTGGACTGATATATGTGCTAAGAGACACACATACCCATTTGAGTTTTGTGTTGAGCCAACAAGCATCTGATTCAAAGTAAGAGACTTGGGAGTTTCCCTGGATAGGATTTTTATCATTTCTAATCAATGCCTGGTTTGGAAAAGTGTGCACTTAATGTGGATATATATATATATATATATATATATATATATTTTTTTTTTTTAAATAGAAAAGCTGCATAGATTTAGGATAGACAGCATCATGTTTTTGTTATGATGTGCTCTGTTTATTATGTTATTTTAAGATGAGGCAAATGATCATTTTAAAGCCTACATGTTTCTCTTGCACGAGATGCGGTTCAAATCCTTGCCTGGATACTTTCGTCATTACCTTATTCAATTCAGCCCTCTATAAGCTCCATAACTGATAATTCTATTTCACTTGGAACATATTGCTGCACAACCACACACATTAAGTCAAGCTGTTAAACTCAAAGCATGTTCTTCCTAGCTCTGTGGTTTGCTGTTGTGTGGAACCCACCATGGTGCCAAATGGTATGGCTCTGGAGGCGTGGTAGTAGATAGCGATGAAGTTGATAAAAAACGCAGTCCCGCACACCATGGCCGGGATCAGGAAGGCCCCAATAAACATCTGCTTAATCCATCTTCTGCCTGTTTTAGTTGGACAAATCAAAAAGCACCATGAAGAAAAAACAACAAACTAAAGCTTTTTAGAGGATATTATATATATATAATATTAAGATAACAAAAAAGAGAGTGTCATGCATGAAGGCTTTTTTATTACCTCCTTGTTTTGCATACAAACTTCCCCCAAAGTAGCCATTGACAGGGGAGGTAGCAGCGTACACAAAAATGGCTGTGCTCAACATGGATCCTCTCCTGCAGAGAAAATTGATATGATTGGAGCGCTATAAAGTTAACTATTGCCTCTGTGTTTGGTCTTTATTTCCCATGTAATTGAAACATTCATCAAGCATTTTCTTCAACCGACATCATGTTAAATGTTTGGGGCAACATTTCACCTCAGAGCCTGAACTTCACTAGATTCAATCAAAGAATAACACGGGCAACACAATTACCTGTTTACCTTATTGAATGAGCAGATTAAAAGGAAAGTAGCAGATTTACTTACATTAGACTAATTCCTGGTATCTGAACCCAACCCCAAATCTATGACTAAAAGTTACAACTAGGCCAGTGACTTACTCTGTGTACAAGTCCTCAACCATAGCGACGATGATGACGATTAAGGAGACAGAGAAAATCTGGCAGCCGGAGCCGATGAGTGAGGAGAAGATCAGTGGGTGGCTTGACGGGCGAAATACATCACCATGTACCTGCTTCCACCCGTATTCATCTCCAAGGTCTCTGTCCTGATGGTACAAAGTGACACAGTGCAAAATGAAAAACCTTGACATGGAAAGAAAGCTAGTTTGAAGTTCTTGAGAAATTTATTCAAAGCTCACCATGTCATCCATTTCCTCCTCTTTGCTATATCTGGCATAATCCTTTCTGAGTGTCCTCATAAGAATCATGGACACAAGACCAACCAAGAAAATGACCATCATGAAGGAGTTGAAGATGGAGAACCAGTGAATCTAAAAAACAAAACAAAAAAACACAATTAGTTTAATATACATTCCCTTGTTTGGAAGCTGCATTCTTCCAAACACAAAGTATATTAAGTGAGCTCAGTCTCACTCTACAGGCAACAGACCACTGGGTGGTTGGCTACAAGACTCTCAGGCTGCGTTCGAATTGTCATTTTTGTTTAGGAAGGTTCCTAACTGAGTGAAATGACCCGGAAGCATTTAAGTGGCGGCCATGATAAGAGCCGTTCGAATTCTCTAAAAGTTAAGGAAAGGTGGGTCAATGCTTCCTTTATAACCTCCTTTAGCATAGGATACACTGGACCATCCTTTACCAAAGGAGATGAGATATGCCGCCCCACAATTCCTTGCGGCCGCAACATTCAAAGCGAGTCGCGCATCTGACCGTTCACGGAAATTAACGATGATTGTAAAGTGACTCAGATCATGCAAGAGATAAAAAGATAAGAGACATTTTTATCAGATGATGTTTTATTCAACGTATTTCATTCACTTAAGAATGCTTTGTGCAGTTGGATATTTGTATAAAACATTATACATCTTAAATAACAAATTTTAGGCACAAGTTGTGTCATCATTATTCTTTTGTACTTATACATTGTATCCACTGCGGCTTGTCCCACTGTGTGATTTCTCATTGTGGAAGCACCAGAGGCACGACATGTAAACAAACAGCAAGAGCTTCACATATGCTATGCCGTCTCCAGCACTTTACATTACCACCGCCTCGCCCCTGTGACGACTCTGTTACTACCTCTTATGGCTGCTCAGAGGCGGAACAGCTTGCCTCTCCATTTCTCTTCCGTGAGTTTCACATCACAGCAAGGTGCAACAGGAGCGTAAATATCACGCCTCCAAGAGGTAATAAAAATCTTTAAAAAAAACAGTCGTTATATTCAACTCACCCTGTGTTGAAAGAAGGATGGATCAAGGTACTTGTCAAATCTGTCTTCAAACTTCACATCAGACTTCTTCCATTTCACCTGTGTAGGAAAGTTTGTTTTCCACATTCATTTATTAAGACTAAATTGAAATGTTTACATAACCACATCCTCATGTGATGATTAATAGACAAATAATACAGACTTCCAATAAGCCTTCATTTATATAAAGAAGTCAGTACTCACAGAATAAGACATTGCAATCCTTGTGTTTGGCACAAGTCGGACTTTTCCTTCACTGGTCAAATTTACGTCAACAATTCTATTGCCATTGAAGCCGATCTCCAACTTCTTGTACGTCCACAGGTAATGATCTTCTCCATTTTCATCTGCCTCACCAACGATACCTTTAAAAAAAAAAAAAAAAAAAAAAGAAGAGAGACATTATATAAATGGGAGGGCTGTTTCTTATAGCAGTGGTCAAACAGACATGAATCCCAAGCCCTTTGCTTATATAACATTATATTGAAAATACCAAGTAAAGGGCACATTCTACACCACTCATTAACTTTGAAATATTATCTTTGATATTCATCTCTTACACCTGATATGTCTTCAGTTGCTATTAAAGTGTGTCCCTGCTGGCTACAACAAACAATTTCTGACCGTAGAGTTGAGCTCAATGTCAAACAGTCATTTGGGATTTCTTCCAGACGGCTGCATTCTTATCCTCCTAGTTCTCCTCACATCCAGGATTTGACCAATGTCATTTTTATTTATTTTTTACAGATTTTTTTTTTTGGTTCACATATGGCAACATATAATGTAGCAGGAAGTGATGTCATGATAATAAAATAATATCCTAACTAACTAAATAATGACTTAAAAGAAAGTGTTCTATAAAGCTCTTGAGTGAGTAGCACACGGTTTCTTGTTTTGTAACAGATATGGTTTTCTAAGTCTGGCGAGTGGACAAGTGTGGTCAGAGGAGATCAACTGTACTCATATTTTATCAGGTTCAGACAGATGCCCATACAGAGAGATTTAAGCCTGGCCAATCACAACCCTTTGTCTAATTTTGTTTGTTTTATGTTGTGTCTAGAGAATCTTGGAAATCCAAATTGAACTGAAAGGTAACGAGGCTAACCTTATGTGGATAGATAAATTACAAATCAGCTGTTACTGAGCTTCATACGCTCTGTGAATAACCACATTCAATCATTTCATCGTTGAGTATATTAGCAGAACCACAAACCGGATATCGGGTCAAAGTTTTCACTTATTTGCTTCTGGCATATGCAACATGCACTGTGTACAATTGTCTTGAGTAAATGCCAGGGCCCCACCCATCATCTTCCAAATCAAATAAAGCATTCATGTTTGAGCAACAGTACTGTAGGAGTGGCCACGTTGTACAAACCTATTACACGTATGCCATAGAGCGCTGACAACTTTTTAGAGTGACAGTCTTAAAAAGACTTAACATCATAGTCCAGGATGGTGTTAAAGTCTCTCTTGCCTAAGTGAATGCATAAACCAAGAAAATAAATTATCAACTTTGTCTTTGGCATGTCAGACTCATATCAATAAAATATATATGATTAAATATATAAGCAATAGAGTTATATCTGACCCATTTTCATTAAGTAATACATACAGCTCTCTACCACAAAACCATGCACCCAAACATGGATGGTCCACTCATTGGAATATGGCTGGTGTGATCTGTGGCTCCTCTAGTTTTCATGTCAGGATGTTGGACACGATTATTGACCCCAAAATGCCCAAGAAGGCATTGCATTCATATGTGTGAATATATCAGCTGCCTTGTACGGCATCTTGTTTGTGGATGAATGTGTTGTTTGTGAATTGGTGAATACTTATGGTATGGTAAGAACCTTTAAACAATATAGGTACAGTCCTTAACCATTAAGAGTGATTAACCCTCAGACTATCCATTCTAAAAGTTCCTTTAAAGGTGAGATGACAGAAGCAGAAGACAGCTGGTAATCAACGACAACACTGAACTATTGCTCAGATTCTGTGTGCTACATTGTATGAATCACCAAGCATACTGACTTGAGAGGCTAACATCTCGGGGGGTCTGTATCACTCTGAGTAGATTGACCCCGGATAGATGGACAGTCCCACCAATGAATAAGAAGCTGTTCAACTTTTAGAGGTCTTGATTATCACTTACCCCAGATGGGCAGGTCGTCTATGTACATTTGGTACCAGTAGTGATTCTTGATGGCATAGACGAAGGCATCCCGTTTGGCTTTATCCAGGTCAATCTCACAGTATGTCGTCTGCATCACTTCGTCTACAGGAATAATTTTAAAAACACACATTTTTTGTTGGATAAAGGAAAAGGAGAAATAAAGAAATAATAAACCCAGAGATTAAGAGACAAGTGCAACAGTATTATTGTATGAGAACTGTCATCTGTTCAGTGCACTGAAGACATGACAGTCAGTACAATACCTTTGAACTTGATGTCTAGGCCGCTGAATTCAAGCTCCACTCCTTGCAGAGCTTCTCCAAGTGTTTCATGGTAATGACTGATGGTCTTCTTTGAACCCGCGCAGAAGGGCAAGGAGAAGTACTTGTATGTCTCCTGTCTGTTGTGGTAAGGCCCCACTGTGTTCATCCATAAAACTACCTCCTCTTTATCCGTGTACTGCAAGGGGAAAACAGGGATTCTTGTTGTGAAACCAAGGAATGCAACACCAGTTTTACTAGTCCCTCTGGTTTGATAGTCTCTGTATATGTTACTCTACAAGAAGAAATATCAGTGAGTTTCAAATATATTTCAATTATAAACATTGAAACGGAAGTTGTAAGAAGCAACATGTACATCTGATGAGAAACTTTGAGTGTAAAAGATGATAACAACTTTGAGGCTGTGGTGACATCTTATTTCACTAGAAAATGAAGACCGGTACTATATTCAAATTCATGCAAACATCATTAAAAGTTAGTAACACCTCAAGAATTGATGTGCATTAACTATTTTCAGGAAAACAAAAGTTAATGTGAACTAGTCCATTAAGTGAACAGCCTACACACATAAGACTGTCGTATGATGTAAAATATTAATTATCATACACATTATTAATTATTCAGATAGTTGTGATCTGGACTGATGAATGTTAATCTATAAGAGATATCAGAGGGCCCTGACGTTTTACCGGTGTTTCTGCATAACGTTGTTATTTTACACAGGAGGAAATCGTGATCGGAAGGATTGCCTTGAGACTAAAAAACTACTTTACACGTTCATTATGCACGCAGTTTTTATTTTTCTGGGGGGGAAACTAACGCTAGCTGGTTTAACGAAAGTGCAGTTTCGGCCAATAGTCCAGGAAATGAGAAGACTGTGGAAGACGTGCTAATGGGCTAGCATGGGTTAGCCGTAAGCACTTAGGCCGATAAGTTGTAACAAGTTAGCTACTTAACTGAATAGCCCGTCAGTTTGGTAGAGTATCAAGAGTAATTCAACAACGCAGAAGGTCATGCCATGCAATCTGTCGAGTATGTATTTCTCTAATCTTGCATGCAACTGGACATCGTAGCTAGAGCTAAAGCTAGCAGGTTACACAGAGCACACAAACGTCCATTATTTTCAAGGCTATCTTTTTTCAATCGGCCTCTCCAAACGTTTTCTTACCGTATGTTCATGTTCATCTGCTACGACACGTAATGAAGAGCCTACTATGGCGAGAAAGGCCGCCGCTGCCACCTTCCACCTGAAAGATCCCATTATTTCCAGAGAAAGTATGCAGAAAGACTTGGGATGTTAGCTTTGTATGGCTATCCCACCTTCTTCCTGGTTGTATGACAGAGGCAGTTTTAGGGATGCTATCGTACGCAGATGGCGTAAGCGCTTCACGAGCACTCATCGCGTGAACATCTGATTGGCTAGCCTGAGTCACGTGGTGTACGGCCTCCAGTAGCTGTTCACAGCGATTTTTCAAACGGTGAATTAACAAACTCTTTCAACGCATCGTCCGCAACCTTCAGCCACGTCACCCGACTGCCAAGACCGGAGCTTCACCTCATCTTTGACAGCGCTGGTGCATGAAACGTGATCCCAGAGCGCAATAAAACGCTGTTTACAGTCCGATGGGGCCACATAATGGCCCTAAAGTTAATCAGACAACATTTATTCATTTCACTTCGTATACATTCACAGATCTGTGACCATGCTTTGAAGCATTGTAAGACGGTAACAATTCATGCAAGTCTGGGAATGTATCTGGGTATTTATCTACGAGCCTATCAAATGATATTTACTGTATACTTATAAGGCGAATCCCTGGGGTGGCAAGACTAGGGCCGAGTCACACGGAGTTGCCCGTGTAAGGAGTTGGCAACACGTTTTTGCAAGCAAAATAACATGACAACATGTCCACAGATAGAACTTTGACAAATTATCAGTGCAATTGATTTCACAACATAAAATATCTATTAGAAACATATTGACATTAACAACTAAGATTAAAATATCATGAGGATGTTAGAATGATGAAAATATTATTTTATATAATCTTTTACCTTTAAAAACAAACACAACAGAGTGGCAACATAGGCATACACCTTCTTAGCTCAATTCCTTAAGCACTTAAAAACAAGGTTGTAATCATTTAAAATAGCGTACTTAAAAATGATATAAATATTACAGTATGGAAACCTGAATAATTGATCAGTGCCTCCTCTGACAGACCTATCACAGTTTTGGATTTTGGGGTGGCCCATATGATTACAAGGGGGGTCCATGCTACCCCTGGCCACCCCTCTGGACACGCTCCTGTCCGTACCATCAGGGATGCTGTCTTTTGAACTGTGCACTGAAAGCCTGATGGTTCCTCTCCTCTTAAGCCTAAATAACGTGGAGTCCAGGGTTTCCAAACAGAAAGACAAATTTTCCTATCTCTGCTTAAGAAAGACCCAGCCTCTCTGGGAAGATCTCTTTTTTTTACCACATCATGTTACTCATCTGTTGCCAGTTAACTTGATTCATTTTAAAATGTTCTATTCATTTAGCAATTCACAACTTTTCTAGACTTTTGTTGCCAAAGTCCAGATTGGGCAAACATTTTTTTTAAGACTGTAATTCACCCATTTCATTTTTGTAAAGACTGTAATTTCTCAGTTTCAACATTTGACATATTGTCTGTGATAATTTCAAACTAAAGTGGGGTTTCAATGTTTTCCCAACCATCACACTTTTAATTAACGTTTTACAAAGTTCAAAGTCCCAAATGTTCACAATTAAATCTGTTTAATAACATTTCCACGAATCCATAAGAGTTTTAAGTGTACCTATATGTACTAAAAACACCTACTGTAGAAGTCAATGTTGCACGGTACATCCTCTTTTCATCACTGACAAAGTGTATAAAACAGACCCACAATGAGCCACTGATTGTCACAATCAGATATAACATTTATTTCAATTATAACTTATATTCTAATAACTTGTCCTGACAATTGGATATTCTTTGAAAAAACATTTCTGATATTCAAAATATGTAATTCTTGGATCAGAAATTACTCAGCGGTTCTATTTTTTTAAATTTATTACAATGTGTTCATGATATGAGATAAAATATCTCAATGAGATTGAGATTCTTAGTCTTGAACAACAAATCTATTTATACATTCTGTAATTGCAGATGGGCTATGTCAGCACAACAAAATGCCCAGTAGAGGGCACCTAATACACAATTTGCTCACCCAAACTGCTGTTTTCATGGAATTTTTTATCCCTCATTATTCCCACTATTTAGAATCCATTGTCCAGGGAAAGAGAAAAATCATTTCTAAAACACAGTCATGTTCAACATAAACGTTTTGAAGGAATACAAATCAGATATTGAAGGTAAATCACATTAATTTAACATATTCAGTATGCAGCTTTAAAGATAAAACATGTTGTGTGTGATACAATGAAATCTTTGCTCTGTAAATTATTTTGCCAATCTTCTCTGTCGTATTCTTCTTTCCAACATTACAACGACCGCACAAACGTCCTGCAGAGGAGAAGTGTTGAGATATTATGTGTTGTAGACATAAAATTAAAAAAACACAGATTTTCAAAATCATAATTAATTGAAATGCTTTCTCACTTTATGATGTCAGGCAGACGGGGGTCTCTGTATAAGCCGTTGTGTAGGTACCCCAGAGAACCTTCAAACGGCACCAGCTTGACTCGATCGCTATTTTGGGCATTTACTGCCACTTCATACAACTGGGATATACAAAAATAAACATACATTCTAGATTAACAAAAAAACACTACATTTGTTATAGCTACACATGTCCCCTGTCTATAATGTATTAGATGATAAAAGCTTCCTGTGCAGGTCATACCTGCTGAGCAACCTGAATGGGAACTAGGTGATCATCCTCTGCGTGGAGAAGCAGGATTGGGCTTCTCATTTTCTTCAAACTGCAGAGGAACAGATTCACATTGTATTTCACTAGTGATTGCACATTTAACAGTTTATTAATGTTTGATATTATGCAATAATTAGATATTAGACTGCAATAGCATGTCAGCAGTTCACTGAAACTTACTTTTCTTCCGTAGGAAACACATACTTGTTTTCTGCCCATGGCTCTGGGAAAAAGAGGCCCAGACCTGGAATTTTCCAGTAATACTTTAAAAGAAGGGAAATAATACATTAAAAGGTTACGTACAATGTATACAATGGGGGACAACAATAAAAAAGGAGCCAATTATAGGAAACAACCAAATATCAAAGTAGCAAGTTGGATGGCTTTACCCATGCAAAGGGATGATCTCTTATCTGCTGTTGAGCCATACTGAATGCACCTTCCAGGATGACACCATCAACAACAACACCTGAAAAAGAAGAAAAACTAATCATGATGACATCATGGAATTATTCCCTCTATTGTTTTTCCAAAATCACTGGTACCATAACTTACCTTGTTCAGTCAGTTTTGCAGCAGTATTCGTGGTCACTCTGCACATAAAGATATCAACATATTTTTTTCTGCTTTGTGCATAATTGGACACAAGAGTTTCTTTTTCAACACGTCCTTAAAAGTGCAGACTTATTATAGCAGTGCGCTAGTATCACTCTGAATGTAACACATCTTTTAAGTAAGATTAGTTTGATTAAACAATTTAGAAGTGATCAAATACCTGTGAAGAGCAGCTAACAGTTGATGTTAGTACTATTTACCAACAAGTATTTTAAATAATGATCTTATTGTTAGATATGACTGTATTAAACATGGAGAGGTGAGTCCACAGTGTCAGCATGCCACTGTCATCTTCTCAAACTGGACCTTCATTTTAAGTTTTTTAATCTGCCTCCCTGTAATATAAATACATTTTTCTGGTTTTGTATACATGCTGTGTTTCTTTGTGGAACTCCTCACGTCATCATATCAGTCATTTGAGCATCACTAATGTATACTGTTAAAGGTTGCTGTTCTATGAATAAGGCACAGAAACAAATGTAATTAAAGTGATCATGTTTTAAAATGTGAATTCAAAACAATAAAAAGGTTACTTCAACAGTGCCCTGAGTCTATTTTTAAATCATTTCTGAAGCTTGGAGGTGTTTCTTTACGAACCCCGTGCCAAGAGAGTGACCCCAGATGACCACCAGGCTCTTTCCACTGCAGGCTTTGACCCAGTTGTAAAAGTAGAGGGCATCCGTGGTTAGATCGGCTTCTACTGGCTCTCCGGTGGAATCTCCAAACCCTGCCAGAGTTTCTCACATCAACCACTGCACACTTCACTGAAAGATTATAAATACTCTATTCTGCAACCAGGGGGCAGCAACCGAACAGGAAATCCTGTACTAGATGCTGACCTTTAATTGAACTAAACTGACTTTTTACACCCTTACAACAAATAAGTCATCAAGCACACCTGCATTTCTCTACAGTAATCATATGGCTTCAAATGATATATCAATCTAAACTGTTATGTCATACTATCAATGAGAAGGTATAGAAGCATAGGGTTGGAAAATATGTAAACAAGGAGAGTAATAAATGTTCATTTGTTCCCACCTCTGTATTCAGGCACCAGCACGTGGTAATTGAGTGCACTCAACATCTGTCGACACATAACGCTTATTTGTCATCAGAATGGCTTTGAAGTCTTTCATACCTTTATTAGACCTCCAAAAGATTGATATGTTTGTGTTCGTGATCACTCACTTTTGCCACTCCCACCCGATGAGGTGCTGCCCTATGGAATGATTCAGAAATAACATTGGTGTTCTCCAAAACAAAATGACAAATACGTCTAGCTAGGGGGCATTTTTACTCTCAGCTTCTTCTCGAGGAAACTATAATACCAATGCATAATTTATCATACCTTGTGCCTGTGTTCCCATGTAGATAGATGAAAACTGGACTTTCATCACCTAAACTGTTCTGGTACCATGCCAAATCCTTCCCTTGTGCCTCTTTCCACAGACTCTCTGGGACTGTGTGCCTTGAAAAGTTCAAAACAAGACACTAATACTACAATACACAACATGATACTTAAAAACGCAACTAATAATTGGATAATAAAACAAGTCTTAGCCTTTTCACATCAATGCTATAGGAGCAAACAAAGTTTAGAGTGGGTTGTGCTCACCATACTCCAAAGGAGATCCCTTCCTCTGATGTTAAGTACATGTTGACGGTGTGATTAAGAGAGAAGTCTGCAGGTTGGCTGAGGTCAACAAAAAATGGCACCCTGACTGCAACAGGAAAGGAAAAGAAGCGGGCCCTCTTTGTTATCACTGTGATGATTTAGAGAACTTCTAAGAGGCACAAAGGAAATTCACTTACTTCTGTGAGTGTAAACAAGGTGCTGGAGTAATTCTGGGAGTTTTGTCAGCAAGAAAGGCATTAAGATTAAGATAACAAAGATGGACAATAAGCCTCTTTTCAGCCACCTCTGGAACCTGAGAACACACAGAGGGTGAGAATAGCAGTTAAATGCCCAGAAGATACATTAATTGTACTTTTTAACCAATGTAAAAATAAAAATTGTGTGTCAGTCAAAGCTGCCGACTCTCTTTTGGCTTTTAAAAAGTCTCCAGGTAATCCCTAGGAAACTAAAATGTCTTTTGAATAGGATCTTTATAACCAAGGAGATTAGGAGCAGGATACAGAAGAAACATTAGAATTGTACTGCATCACCACATTTTTTATATTTTACATTTCTAAATTATATTTTATATAATTTAATAACTTCTTATACTGTATTATTTAAGTTGTTGCTAGTTCTGTTATATTTCCTTGTTAATTGTTTAGCACCAATACAACAAGTCAAATTCCTTGTATGTGTAAATGTACTTGGCAATAAAACCTGATTCTGATTCTGATTCATATAACAATAGTTATAAATCAATTGAGATTTAAAATCACTTACTCGGAGCCAGATCACATCAGGCCATTAAGTCAACACATATCCAAACAGAACAAGTGTGTCAGTATCAAAAAGAAGGTATTTTACGGAAAAGTATTTAATAGGGCTTTCACACTTGCAGAAATCTCCTGAAAAGCTCAGGATATTGAGTTGTATATGTGAACACAAAGACACACATTTTACGCTCTGACTTCACCTGGAGTTTCTCCTGACAGACTCCTAGTATTTTTTCTGAAGGAAGTGAGAGTGAGCTGATGTGAGAACGCCGCAGGATATTCTCCGGAGAATTTACCGTGAGCCAATAGTAGGGGGAAGTGAGGTTTATATACTGTGACTGCTGCAGGGTGCATAGAGCGTATACAGGCGACCACTACTATATTAAACAGCTGCATAATGTTTTCTATTTGCCAGTATGTTGTTGTTCTCCAGTTTTGATGTCAGGATGTTTGATGTCTCCGGTTAATGATGTCATGCTGTTGGACTACAAGTAGCATTGACATAAAGGCAAATACTCCCATCATAGCCCTGTAAAGCGGACTCTGTTGCTTCATCCGCTACTTCCGCGTTGTTTTACACTGTCTGACAGGGATAGTCAGACAGTGCTGTGAGGAGAATATGTGAACAGCCAGGTCAGGAGAATCTCCGGAGCAGTCCTCCTGAAATTATCTAGATGTTTTTTAGGAGTGCATAAGTGAAAACGGCTATGCGTGGATCATAGCTGTGTTAACAACAGCCTAGAGTCATTGTGAGGTGAGCTCCAATATCAAACGCTACTGTTAGGTCAGTGGCATTGAAAAATCAGTATCTGTTTATTTGGAAGACCTGTTTATGAAAATGTCTAAAAGTAGATGTATTAAACAGCCCTATGAGATGCAGAATTGGAGAGTTAAGGAGAATGTGACTTCACTGAGAGGTGCAAAATAAAACACCTGCAACACCATGGAGGCATAACTGATCTATATGCAGAAGTAGGTCCCATTAGCATGTACAGAGCGGCTCCATGTCCTGCCAGAGTGTGGTCGCAGCAATAATATAGATACATTAATGTGGGCACAAAGAACTGAATGATCTAATCATGCAGGCAAGCTGTCATCACAGTCAGTCCTGACATCCTCGAGGCAGTAGCAGAAAAAGAGGATGCTACTCAGACTATAGCCGATTAATGTGCAATACATCCCACCCCCTCCATTAACAATCTAATCAGCCAGAGAAGCCCTTTTGGTCAACGACTGATTTCTTAACGCTGCTAGAGGGAAACATAATAGGGGGTCCCTCATTTCAGCAGCCATCACTATCACCTCATTTGTCCACAGTTAACACTTCTCCTTCTCTATTAACTTTCAAATCTATTCCTAAAGATGCCTAAAAAGCTTTAGACATATTTTAAATGATTTAAAAACTCTTGTGTGATGTAATGCCATCTTTGATTTACTGAAAAACCTCTCAACAGAACAAGACTATCCTTTATGCAACTGTAAGTGATAGGTTCACTCTGAAGATGAAGGTTGTAATTTGTGATTTTTTTTAACATTTTTTTTTAATGTTTTGAATGTTCAGATTTCCAAACACTTATTATATTGTGTAGTCTTTCCATTCAAGTGTTCTTTCTACTTTTGTTGTTTTCCTGTAAAACATTCCTCAAACTAGTTTTAAATTACGTACCATCACATCCTAAGCACCTAAACGTTTTAATCGATTGATTGGAAGTGGGCTGATTTTCTAATTTGATTCTAATGGCTTGAGTCCTCATTTTGACGCTCCTAATTTCATGTTTAACTATTAAACTTATGCTTATCGTACACTGAAGTTAAAAAAAAAAAAAACACCTTTGCATAACACCGGTAAGTCAGAGGAAATACGCTAACTTCCGTGGAAACGGACTTCCCCCTCAGAAGACAATCTCAATAAGAGTTCGACTCAAAGGCAAACAATGCTGATGTTAAGACCGTAGGCTGTAAATATTACAGTTTATTACAGACACGTTATATTATAGGGCTAACAGCTAAGCTATCTAACTCACGGTTTCCCTTCCTTCTTCTGGACTCTGGCAGTCCTTTGGTCTTTGGCTGTGGAGGATTTATCATCCAGCTTAACGTCCCGTTTCCTCATCATGTAGCGTCAGTTTTACCTAATACTCTTTAAAATAGTTTTTAAACGACAGGTAAGACGACCAACAGTTGTCCGACAGTAAGTAACAAGCATATAACTTTGACCAAAGTACAGTCAGAGATGGTGGTTGATTAACCAGAGGTTTTTTATGGTAGCACTGCTTTACGTACCGTATTGTTTATCACAACGCTCAATATTTATATGACGCCACCTTAACACAGGGCACAAATATCTCACCCATAGACTGTAAAAAAACATATATCGTCATCTTGGCAATAAAAGATAGCTTTTTGAAAAAAAAATTTTTTATATAAAAAACATTTTAATTAAACATTTTAATTAAAACAATAATTATTCTCAATAAATTATGATACAGTAAAATGTATGCTCACATTGAGCCTATTCAGTATTTAATTTCATACTTCAAAGTAAAAATGAATATATAAACACTTACACATTTCACAATTGAGGTGTTCCCCTCTCCAGTAAAGTTACAGAGACTTGGGTCGCTGGGGGTGCAGTGGTTAGCGCCCCATGTAAAGGAGCCACAGGCGGGATTCTAACCTGGGCTATAGTCCTCAAAGCAGGCGGCCCAGGTTAGAATCCCGCCTTTGGTTCCTTTCCCACATGTCATTCCCCACTCCCTCTCTCCCTGATTTCCAACTCTATCCACTGTCCTATCTCTCCAATAAAGGCACAAAAAGCCCCCCCCCCCCAATGTAAAAAAGTTACAGAGACTTGGAGAATCAATGGGTCACATTAGTCCAACACATTACACGTACACTTTACGGTATGTTTATACGTCCTTTGATTCATTTCTAATCTATGAATTTAAATCATCTTTTTCATTGGAATGTACCATCATCCACCCTATTCAATCTATGCACTAATGCATATGAATTTGTATCCACAAATTGGAAATAAATGAACACCCATACTCCCAAGAAGTACAAAACCTTGGGGAAGCCATTAATAAGAAAATTAGAGGGGCAGTTTAACTACAAGACCTTTACAGATCAGTCAAGTCACCCTGATTAAACCTTACAGTTTCTGAGGAAACATCAAATGATTACTTTTTCTAGTATGAAATCTGATGTCTGCACCATACTGGGAGCATAGACCGAGCAGAGTGTCTGGTAGGTTTTTCCATTACAGGGAGCAATATGTTTCAGATTGTGCCAGCAGTTACAGTGTTGGGTTGTTCAGAATAAATAGCAATATAATCCTCCATGGGAATAAACAGGATGAACTGTTTGGAAGGTTACAATTGACTTGATTATTACATCAAGCCAGACATGTTTTGGAGCAAATAACAGTAATAGAATCAAATGATTATGTTGTCTAATATGTCACATCTACTCCACTGCACCGATTTCAAGAAGCTAACCACAGGGAGGGGAAGAATCCAAAATCTCATCCAATTGCTATCAAAACAGAGAGATCAAAAAAATATCTGATATGACAAGAACATTTGAGAGGGGGGGAAAACAACCAGTGCACAGACAAAGAAAATAGCAACATCTATGGAAAGGCCCCAGTGTTTGACAAGATCTGTTGAACATGCGGTGCCGAAATTACCACTTTTGACAAATAAACGTGTCAGCAAAATGAATAAAGATGTTATAAATGACGACTTCAAGAACTGTGTTGCTGAGGCTGTATGAGGGAACCAGCTGAGAGGACACTTGGTGGAGTGGTGCTCTCAGGTAGCTGCCGGGTCAGGTACACACCAAATGTCACCTACAAATCCATCAAATAAGAGTCAGTGATTCATTTGTTCATGCACATGCTCTTCACCCACTTACTCATAGAAAGATGCACTAATTGCTTTTGACTGACCTTCCCGGTGCGGAAGGCTGACAGGGACATTAGCGGTTCTTTTGTTCTGGTCCCAGTTTCCTGGTCCACTCCAACCATATGGCACCTTCCACACTGACCTGTTACCTTCATGTTAATCACACACGGAACACATTTCATTTAGAGAAATCTGCTCTTGATGCCTTTGCAGATTTTCCCATTTATCTCAAATCTTCAACTCACCACAAATTGAGTGTTGCCAATAATCAAGTGTGACCAATTATCCTCCTCGAATGGTTCTACTCCAGCAATGACTAAATTGGCTCGGAAGCGGCTAATGACATTCTGTGTGTCGAGGATCTGATCGCCCTCTGAATCGTCCTCCCTGAGAAAGGGAATGTGAAAATTGCATTTTATTTTGCCCCACTTCTGTAAATGATTCACTGTAATGTAAATGTAAAGGCATCCCGATTTTTTTCACTGGAGCGATGCACAATTTTTTATAACACATCATGTGTTCAAACCTGCTGCTCATTAGCTTCTGAATTAGCTCCACACTGGCACGGTTGATCATGAGATACTGAGCCTCATTCACCAGGGAGAGGGACGTGGTGGTGGCAGCTAGAATGGAAAGGCTTTATTATATTAACCCAGAAAATTCTATTTGAGAAAAAAACATGTAATAGTACTGCAGAGATTAAAATATGTCCACCAGAATAAGAAGTGGATATGAATAATAAAGTCAACAACTGTGTATACCATTTTAAACAGATAGTCAATCTAAACTCTGAAGGATACAATAAGTCCTTAAAATTATCTTGATATGTATAATTGAACATGTCTAATTCAGTGATGACAAGGAAAAGTGTGTCATAAAAAAACAGGTAACTAATTGCATGTCAACAGAGCTTGAGAGGCCATTGTTCAAGTGTCTTCATATAACACATTATCAATATATTTAATTAAGAAACTATTAATATATAAATGATCAGGAATGGATTTGGTTTAATCATTGAACAAAAAGGTTTTTCATCATATTGATGCAGGAAAGCTGAAGTACATGATGCTAATATAAAGTGCTGCTCATTGATGCAGCATTGACAGAAAATGGCCTAATACAAATATAGAAATGAAAGGGAAATATATACACAAGGTGTGTATACTTATCATGAGGGGAAGTGTTCACAATGTGTAAACAGTTGTGTAATGCCTTCAGATGCCTGTAAGGGAGCATTTTAATTGCTGATAGAATAACCAGATGTCATCAGGATTATCTTTGCATGTGTTTGGAGCCTGAAAATATTTCATGGAAAGCTTGCCTACAAAAATAAAGACATGGGTTGTTTATTACTATCAGGTAGATTCAGATGGAAGACGCTTTGGTAGGTGAGCCTGGCTTGTATCAGGGACTAAGAGAGGGTCTATTTTGGGAGACTCCTGACATTTAAAAAAGACAGAGCTACTTAAGCTGAATAAAACAAACTGAAATACAAAACAGAACTAGATTTCTTACTGATGGACTTAAGAAATTAAAATCACTAAACCACTGACAATGTTCCAAATATGTTTAATGAATATTATAAACTACATGTTATTAATAACAGCACTCCACACGTTGTGTTTACTTAACAGTATAACAGTATACCACAGCTTACTTTAAATGTATGATTATAACCCAACAAGGAAGAAAAGATGATAAAAAGTTGCCCCTCCCGCCTGGTGTGTGTCGCTATGTATCCCAGCACGTTTTGAGCGCTGAAGTGACCGCTTGCAATACACAATGAATGTTGCCAAGCAACCAAAACATTCTCCTCATTGAGTCACTATTATCAGTTGCGTACAAGCTATCCCTGTTTGGTTGTTTGATTCAGAAAATCTTAATCTAATATTATTATCAAGCAATGGTTAAATATTGTTATTTTAAAGATGCACTGTGTGACTTTTCACACGTATTACATTGCTAATTAATAAGCATACGGAAAACTTATGTGAAAAATGAGCAATCACTGCCTGTCTCGGTTGCCTGTGTAAAACCGTTGTTTGATTGAAAGGGAGTTGGGACTTTTCAGGGAAAGCACCACAGAAGTGCCACTCTTGCACATTCTTAACTTCCTCCTCTTTTCACTCCACTTGTTACAAAAAGCAGCAGCAGCTAACTGTAGCTTAGCATGGAGTCACTGAGGGAGCTTTGCTCTGCTGTGAGGATAAGAACTGACCCTGAGATGGCTTTCTTTCTATTGAAAATGTACGACATTACTTCAGACCATTTGAGGTAGTGAACTGAATTTTGTAGCTGCACTCATACATTAAAAAAAAGAAAAGTACACACTATTTGCTAGGCAGAAACAAGTGAAAATATACACAGTAGATGTTCCTCCTGTGAATATTTATTACCCACACATGGGCGTGTAGGACCCAAGCCCTTCTTCAGACAACATGTCACATGAGGAGGAAATGAACATTCACAAGAGCATTATTTACTATGCAGACTTTCAATTCAAAAACTGTATTTGTCCACAGGGAGCATTCAAAGGCACATAGAGCTTTAGCATTGTTTTTATGTTTTTGAGGTCGTGATTAGTTTTTAATCAAATCTAAAAACGGACTTCTTTGTAGCCAACATAGTTTCTGAAAGGGTCAGGGTATTTATCTGTCATTCGCTCTGGATCACTATCCGGTTTCCAGTTGACTCTACATGTGCATCACGCAGGCTGACCAGTGTGGTGCAGTTGGTCCTGGTGTCACTCGCCGATAGTCCATAACAACCAGAAAAACCCCTGGCAGACGAGTAACCATCTGAAGCACTTCATCCCTCTCCCCGTGGGACAGACTCTGTCTGCCCTCTTCACTGACAGATCCAGCTCCTTCTCTTCCTCTGTCTCTCTCCTCTTGAGTAACCATCAGTGCTCTCCTCCTCAGGAGCTGCAAATTCCTCACAGCAGGAGTCCTGAGAAAAGAAATCAAATGCATGACATGTCTATGTTTCTTTGTGCAAAATGTCCTATTTGAGACACTGTAATTTAAAACAAACAGAGTAATAAACCATGGCAAGCTGTAATTATACTGCAAGGTAACATTTTTCTTGTCTCAACGTAAAGCCTAAACACCAATTGAATACAATAACGGTACCTGAAAATGAGCAAAACTGAACTTAATTTGATTCATTAGGTTTTGATAGAATATTTTGGAAATCGTAGTTTTGATGTTATTGCGCTTGTCACCTTTACAGATGTAATGTTACTCCACAAAAAAATGTGCAAAGACTCAGCAAAATAAGCTGTACTTATAAGTCTAATGCACAGAAAACTATGCTTACATTTCTGAGCATCTGTGAAAAGCTTAGTTATTGATATAGCTGTAGCTGGTCAGCTAACATTAGCTAACACAGTCAGCAGTCAATGTACTACAAGTTACATGCAGTCAACATGTCATGAAAAGACAATTTGTTCAAAGTTGTGCTAGGTAGAAAGCTGTTAGGCTTTATGAATCATATAAAAACAGTTGTGAAACTATCGTCTTCCTGATCTCCTTTCCTGAGTGTTTAGTGTCAGCACTTGAGGGTCAAATATAGTCTAGTCTCAAACTATAAACGTACAAAAGTGTAACTTCACTTACCTCCTCTGTAAACAGGACACCAGTAAATCGTGTGAGTCTCCTATGTGTCCCGGCTGATGGTCAGGATTCTCATCCCACTCGTAGTAACTCACCAGCGACAGCGAGCAACATGTTACTGGTGCAGTTCGTCTACCGACCAGCGGTGTTACTGACAACAACACGCTGCTGAAAGTAACATATAGCCCCTTTAACCAGAAGTGTACAAACTAATGGTACATACTGTAACTTTAGTTCATACACTTGAACGTTCAGTATTAAGGTAATGTTTGATCAAGTGTGAATTGAAACGGTTATAATTTGGTATGGTCGAAAGTAACTATTTAAAAATATATATTTTTTTGTGTATTAGCTGTTTCAATCATTCATTATTGCGTTGATATATTCTAATCAATAAAACATTGCTTTAATAATTGATCATAATTATACATTAGTTGAAGCTCATATAGACTTTTAATCCCAATAGCTGGTTTTAGGTGTTGTAGCTCATCCTGTGTGTCATTTTTTATTAGTTTATTTACTCTTAATGTTTCCACTGACTTGTTTTGCCGGAATTTCATGTTTTCTTAAAAAACACCTTATTAAATAATGTAATGTGCAAGCTAAGTAAAGCTAGAAAGCTTGCACTTGTTATGTAAACTATAACAGAAAAAACCAGAGTAAACAAATAAGAGCAGGGCAAAACAGATGAAAGTGTTCTAAAGGTACCTCCACTCGGCCTCTTCTTCATTTCTCGGGTAAAATCAGGACTAAGTCTTATCAGACGGCATGGCTGTCCAAGGAAGTCTGAAAGCCACGATGCAGCCTCATCCCCACAGTCGACAGTCTCCACCCTGGAGGAAGGATGAGGATTATGTTCAGGGGGGCCCCATGGGTAATCTACAGAGGTTGATGCTGCTTACTATAAGGTCCAATAACTTATTCAAGAATCGCTAGATGAAAAGCTGCTTTTAAACTTTTGGCTTATCATGCAGACATAATGAAGGAGATTGATATCGCCTCTGCTTATTGTTTGTATTTTCTGTAAAAAAATAAATAAAAATAATAATAATAGGACCTTGTGAAAAATTAGAGTTGGAGGCCTTATAATGCTATCCACTTCAGAAGGATAGTTACAAGAGTGGAGTGGGAAAATGCATTGATGTGACTAAAAAATGCATAACAAATGATATGTGCCACAGCATTTCCTGCAGCTGCTGCTTTTAGATGCTTTTTACATTGCCAGCTCACCTGTCACCACAAACTTTACTCTGACAAACTTGATAGCTTGTGCGCATTTGAGTGTTTTTTTCCAGGGGAACCGAAATTGTATCCATCCCTGCAGGGCAATACAAAAAAAAAATCTGTAACAAAGAGCATTTGTAACAGAAATCCAACTGATGGGCATTCCTTTTGGTTAAGCAGAGGGTTGTTTTTTTTTCAGTGAGCCGCTGGCAGACTGTCTGACCTGATGCTTGCAGGAGCAATTTGTTTGAGGGCAGCTGGACTTGTGGGTGAATGAGACATAAACGCTGCTCTCTCTTCTGACTCAGACACACACCGTTTCCATTCACCACCATCCAGCCTCTGTCATACAGTAAACCCAACGGTCCTACTGGCCAGTCGTGGACCTGCATAAAGGACAGCACAAAATGAAATCACAACAGAGACAGGTAAAGAAATAAAAGGGCAGAGACAGATAATGTGACAGAAGAAATGTGTGGCTAATCCTCAAACCTCGTATGCTCCACATGATTTGATGGGATAGATGTAGATATTGGTCAGAGTATGAGCCTCCCTGTAGCTGTTGGAGTTTTTGCGGCCAAATCCCCTTAGTGATACCTCTATAGGCTTCACCCACTCATCCATTTGATATTTTTCTCCATTGGAGATTTTAATTTGATGGTGTGCACATAAGCCCTGAGGTGCTGCTGTGAATGTTTTCAGCTTCTCTAGTCTGTCCTGGTCCACTGTGACTGGTTTCTCTATGAAACACTCAGCAACAAAGTTCAGGAACTTCTGACAGTCTTCAAATGTTGACATGTAGCCAAAAGACACTCGTACAGATCCGGTCGGCTGGCCATCTACCAGGTCGATGCGGTCTCCGCAGACGTGGCCAGCCTTGAGCAGAAGAAAACAATGTTTTTGTTCCATAGACACATACAGACTTTAGAGTATTTTATCCCATGATCTCTTACCTGCAGGTTTTTCCTCGTCTGCTGATTGGTGATCCCGAGGAAGAAGTGACAGGCCCCAGTGTTGCAGAAGCAGCCTGTTCTCACATGAATGTTGTAAAGACTAGCCATTCTGTCCACCTGAAGGGAAAAAGAGGAATTGTGTTATTATTCCCCAGTGCTGCCTCTGCATAAACATGCAGTAATTAAACAGCTGTGAAATACAAATAAACCCAATTTATTGAATGCACCTGAGAGTATCCAATTATCTGCCCATGAGAATCCATAAGGTTGAAGTTGAGGATTGCACCCTGTGTGCTTGGACTCTCAAACTGTCCTTCAGTGTATATCAGAGCCACTGGTCTTCCGTTGCCATGGCAAAGACTTGACAGCAGCATGTAAGTGTACCGTGCCAAGCCAAATGTATGCTGCTGGATGTTGTGCATGCCCCCTAAAGGCAAAGAGGGATGTAAACAGGCATGATTCTGATGTAAACCCTAAAAAAGGTTCTTTATCAACAACTTTTAATGATTCTTTTATGAAATATTTTTTGATGTTTGCTTATGAATCAGCATGCTTTGTTGTGGTACCTGTGATCCTGTGGAGAGCATTCAAACTGTGATTTAAAGCTATAATGTCCAAGAAAGAGACGGTGCCATCTTCAAATCTTTATCAGGGAGCAAGAAAACATTACATTTAAGAAGGATGCAATAGCTATAGAATAACTGAGCGTCTTTGAGGGTTACACAAACATACACTACCTGTCAGAAATGTTTAAAGCAGGGACAAAATAATCATCTCCAGAAAGGTAAGCTGCTGCTGTGCCTCCTCCAAAATAAGTCTTTTTAAGTATGCCTGCTGTGTTGTTGTGGACAAGAAGCGCCCCCAGACCTGTAGGGAAGCCAAACATCTTGTAGAAGGAGATGGGAATGAAATCAGCAGGGCAGTCCTGTAAATTTAGAGGGGAACAGCTGACAAGAGAAGCAGCATCGAGCAGCACAAACCAGCGGCCTTGGTGGTCACATGCTGGGTAAAGGCGTCTCGACTGGATGCCTTTCACATGGCTCAGGGGATACTTCCGCCCGGAGAAGTTGCTCTGTGCCGGGTAACAGAAGAGGTGCGGGGTCTGGCAAACTACATCTTCACCTTGAGCTGCAGCCTTCGCTCTGTTTTCCACTTCCTGGGGCGAGACAGGCATGGCAACAACCCCCCGCCCAGAAGTCAGTCCTCTAATGCCAACTACGGAGGTATGGCTGTCAGTGAGGTAGCAGAAGTGACTCCCTGCTTCACCCTCAGTCTGTGGCCTCCAGGGGAAGCTCTCAGCCACTAATTTGAGAGCTGCTGTACAACCCGAAGTAAAAATCACAGAGTACTCCTCAGGGGTCACGTTAAAGTGCTGCAATACCCTGTAAGAAAATGTGCCTTTTTTCACTCATTTGTTCCAGCAAAGTGCTATTCAAAGGAGACATGAAGCCTTTTTAAAGACTTATGATTGACTTTACCTGTATCTGACCCTCTCAATGGTGTCATGTGTCAATCTACTGCTGGGACTATGGCTGTGAGGGTTTCCTATTGGGACATAGAGCAATGTTTTTATGGTTTTATGACTAAATAAAAAAGAATGAACTCATGAAAATAACACTTTACTGTGAGGTGTCTCACCGTACACATTCCTGGAGATGTCCTGGGAGTAGTCCCTGATCAGAGACTCGGGGTACAGAGTAGTTGCTGCATGATCCAGATATGTGATTCCTGTTTACAAAAAGAAAACAGAGCAGCCGTGTGAGCTGTCGAGTAGTCTGTCACACAGACAGTCAGATCCCAATCATTACCTTTTGTCCGTTTGAACTCCTGCTCAATCATATCAGCAAAGTTATCCCCATAACTGTAATGTTTCCAGACATGTTTAAAAGTTTCAAAAGTGCAAAGTTTTTGAAAATCCATCGATCACTTTCCGCTTTCCAGAGGCACAGAGCACAGGACAGGGCTGCTGTTAGCTACTTCTGAGTCATGTTGACATTATTATTCAGGGTCTAAGTCCGCTGGGCAGGACTCTGCTCATATACTGGGAGGACTGTTACACAGACATGACCATAGACTGTAAATATTACTGGACGAACCCTGACCCGTCTGTGACATAGGCAGAAAATGAGTCCAATCGACGGCCGCATCCATATTGGATTTGCAGTCTCAACCTAACTTCGGATCAACCTAGCTACAGCAGTAAGGCGGGACCGGCGGGACTTAACTCCGCCCATTCAGCTCGACGTTTGCAGTCCACTTCACAGCATAGCTAACAGCTAGGCTGCTATCATCAACTATTCCTGCTCGTCCTGAGAAAACTCTATAAACAGTAAGTTAACATTTAACTTTTCTACAACACAGTTAAAACTAATTATATTCAACACAAATATTTAATTAAAGTCTTAAAACTACACTTTGTTAAATATACAACTATGGTTATTAGTTATTTGTTAGAGAAGTTAGACTTTGTCAGTGTTAGCAGAGAAATACATTAACAAAGTTTGATCCATAAACTGTAAATAAATGAGACATCCAGAAGAAATCAATATTACAAAGCATACAGTTCATGTTACTGTTCTGACAAAAAGAGGAATGTCTGTGTTTTATATTTACTGATGTCAACAGCGATGAGGTGAACATGACAATTGAAAAATAATTATTTAGTATTTATTATAAGATATTTGTTTTCTATTGAACCCCGTGAAGTCATGGAGTCTGTGGACAGTGTCAGCTTCACACCAAAAACTTTAAGTATTAGAAAAAATAGTGTTTAAGACTGGCATCTATTATGATGAGTTGCAGCTACCTTGTTCAATATTATTCCTGCAGATGTGGCTCATAACAAAAAAACAGCCTGAGCTGTCACATGTAGTTAACTGTACATTTTGTCTTGTCTGAGGCATTAATTGAACACCTTTGTATTTCTCCTATAGACACAGTGTGGATTATTGGTGACTGGTCCGTCGAGGTGCCCAGAGAGCTGCAGAGACAGAGGAAGAAACCTGAGCTTCAACAACATCTGCATTTGTTGGTTCTTCTGAGGTGGACTTCGGTTGCTTCTCTTCAACAGCTCGCTGTGAGGGAGATCTCCCCCGGATGGCCTGAGTGATGACACCCACAGGCTGAGAGCTGAGACGGGTTTTAAGCCTCTTGACAAACCGTTACACCGCACCCGCCTGTCAAGCTGGTCAGCTACACGCCTTATTGTGAATAACTCTTATCCTTCATCAAAACATTCACCCCCCGTACAGTGTCCATCGAGACATGAGCTAATCACACCTATTTGTTTGTTTTGTACCAAGCTGTAAACATGTTCATCTCTGCTGTAAAAACAGACTTTTTTTAATGTTGTTTTTCAGATTAAATAAATATTTCTATATAAATGCACTCCTTTATGTCTACTTATGAGTATACATTTCAGATTAATGCTCAACTCAATAGCTTAGGGAAGGAAGTCTACTTTTACACAACTTCTTATTCTTTTGATAAATACTAATGTAGTTCATTTCTGAAAGTGGGATGGAACAGAGTCATTGCAAAAATTTGCCCTTAAACACAGCCCCATTCTTAAATCAAGATACATGGAGAGTAAATAAGATCAATAACTTGTGAATAAAAACACAGTTAAAAATGATTTAGAAATGTAGTCTTCCCTGATCAATATCACATAATATCAACTTCTCCCATCTAAACTGGACAAAGGGTTTTAAAATGGGAAGAAAATGGTTTGATTGCAAGTTGTTTGGAGGAGATCTACTTTTATTTGAACAGCATGAATACAGTCTTCCAAGGTGCAAACCCTCCCCCTCCTCCTGAAGCCTGTGGAGCTCCTTCATGTACTGCTGTCTTATCTGTTGGCCATCTTCTCTCAGCAAACCTTTGACTGTTGAAAAGTCATTCTGAAGAAGCTCGAGCATGTGACATGGATCCAGGAGAACATGGACTTTTAGTGAGAGGTCTTCAGGGTGACAAAGAAAGAGAGAAAATATCAGTTATTCATTAAATCATTTTGTTTGTTCTCATCTATTTTTCTGTATTCATCTGTGTGTAAGAGCACATTTATAAATTCAACAGTGTACTACCCAGACAACAAAGGTACAGTATTCAGGTAATCAACATCTATTCAAAGTTAAGAAGATAAACATTATTGTAATCATGCTGTTTTCAGCTCTCTCACTCACACAATGATATTCCACATCAAATTGTCTCAGATTTTGTGTGAGGAAAAATTCAGCAATTTATTGTGGATAGTACTTCATCTTTACATGAAACAAATATAATCTGAATTATTTAAATCATTAACAGGTCCCAACTCTCTGTGCTTTAGTACAGAACATACAGTAACTCATTTATTATTAACATGAGCTCAGTACATGGCTGTATTCTTCAAACTATTTATTATACTTTATATCTATGTGCTTTAAATCTTATTTTCATTCCATATGTTATTTATATTTTATATTTCTACAGCTATATTCTGTGTATGAGTTCAGTGAAAATGAATATGGTTATTAATATAGTTCTTAATGGTTACAGATGCTCTTACAAAGTGAAGTTTTTTTAATTTGTTAACAGTTTGCTCAAATCTTAAGACACTACCATCAACCATGTAACTTTAATGTCATCCTCTATAACTTACACAGCACATTAGGTTCAGTTGAGTTTATGTTACTGACAGATAATTACTACACAAAGTTTGTTTTTTAATGTCCACATTATGTGGAGTATAACATTCATCATAACGTCAGATAACCATATTTACAGTCTGTGGTTAACCACCGAGCTGAACCTTTAGCTTCTAACATCACACAAACTCATTATTTTCAACAACAACATCTTCACAACAAACATTTCTAAACCATTGACCGTAAATAATGTAAATAATGTAAATAATGTAAATAATGAGCTACACAGTTAGCCGACTGGTTTACAAGCTAACGCTAAACAAGCTAGGTCCGTAAATATAAACACATGAGTAAGCAGTAAATATAACACTACTATATCACTTACCGAAAAAAACTGAAGCATCAACTTGTTGGATGGTCTGTTAACCGCACAGCAAGCCATGTATGTTGTCAGATATGTGTTAAACAAACTCTCCAAACGAAGTAAAAAAGAGGAGAAATCAGACGGATCAAGCTGTTAGCCTCCTGACCTGCTGACCTGACAGACAGATGCAGCGCGCAGAGCTGTCAATCAAATCTGACACAACCAAATATGGGCATAGTCGTTTTCCTTAATAGAATAAAATCCGATGAGTTATAAAAAAATTCACCCCCCACAGTGTGAGGAGAAGGGGCCATCAACTTCTCAGATATATCTCGTTTTTTGAACCAGGCTGTAAACATGTTGATTCCTGTGGTAAAAACGGGCTTTTTTGGCTGTGGGCTTATGGCACTTCCGGCGCTTCTGCAGCCAGCCTCAAGCGGAACCTCGAGGAACTGCAGTTTTTTGTACTTCCGCATAGGCTTCATTTTTCGAGACCGGAGGTTGCCCCTTGGACATGACGAGCGACAAGTTAAAGACAGAATCTCCCACCGACGAAACCGAGAATTTAACCTACTCGAGGAGGACAACCGAAACGTGTAGAAACTGCTGAGAAAAGTCATGTGACAGGCCAGCTGTAGCATTTCATCCTCGGAACATTAGCTAACCCTAAATGGTGTGCAAACATTAGCTGGCAAGGGAAGGTTTGAAGAGAAGGGCAAGTTATTTTCAAAATAGTTATATTGAGAAGGATTATCTCACTGTATCTTCTGAGATAGTGGAAATTACTTTGTTATTTTTTTATTAAAAACATATTTCCGTAAAAAACCATAAAGCCGTCTATTTGCACCCTGTAAGTAACTAAAAATAGTTATTTATATAAATTTGTGTGTTTTTGTTTTTTTCAGTATAATATGCGTGAATTTACTATGCATTATACTAGATATTACTTAGGAAAACACACTGTTTTAGGCATATTTGTGATTTTGAGAAATAAATAATTAACATTTTATTGATTTATAATATGTATGAAAATATTGACGTCACAATATTCCGTATGTTTTTTTGCAATATGTGTGCAACAGGATTTAGACCAAGGACCTTGTTTCAAAGTTGTTCCCCAAAATCAGTCCTAATTCACGCTGAAATATGGCTATAGCCTGTATTGACAATATAATGTCACGTCCAAATGACACGATGGATGTAATAACACTGACAAAATGTCAATAAGGGATTGCATATGCTTTGGGCATGCTGTGGTAATAGGAGATTGTTATAGCAGGACATCAAACCCGACAATTTCTATTTACGCTAAAATCATGATGAGAGGAGCATGTCAAATATTATGTTCATCCTTTAGTTTAAGGAACCTCACTCTCTCACTTTTCACTGTTTTTCATTTTATTTAAAAAAGTGATTGTTACACTGATTTCAATATGTTATATGTAAATGCGTTTTAAATGATATTCTTTATATTTATATTATTGATATAGGTTTCATTTCCTCGACCCAAGTCCAAAGCCTGAAAAGTGTTGCACAGAATTGCCTTCATCTTCCAGTTCTCATAAGGACATCTAATGTTTTTTTCATCAAAGAATAACATGAGCATTTAAAGGGATCTGTCTTCAAATACCAGGCATAAATGAAAGTAGGCTAAAGCAAAGACATTAATGAAAGAACAAAATGATTTGTATCGCTCGTAATCATTTATTGCTGGTTTGCAAGAATTGCAAGTATAACAATTCTCCCCTTTCAAAAGCTTTTTCTACCAAGAAAATTTGAAACTGCTTTTAGTTACTGTAACAGATTACACCAGGCTGTCTCAGTAATCACTCTATAAAGTAATCCCATTATATAAAATCCCTGACTCTTATCCTCACTGGCGCAGGAGGTAGATGGAGGAGGAAATTGGTTGAGAGCAATTAGCATACTTAAAACATTGATCAGTTTACAATTTTCCAATTAAAAATGATTATTTATTAACTAAACCTGCAGAGTTATTAAAGCTAAGAATGATAAAGAAAGAATTAGTGGATATCATTTTTTTTATTACCTTTTTTTTTACTTAGGCACAATTAGTGACCTTTTCCCATCGTTTCTCAGGCTATACCTATTTTGAAATCCACTCCTATTTGTATCGCTTTGTTTACAA